ATTGTGGCGCTAGCTCCAAAGAAAGATGGGTGTCAACCTTCCTTGTGCTCTAGCCCGCTTTTCTCACTTCCTAACCGGATTGGTAACCGAAGAAGTCCATGCTGTCGCCGTGAAACTGGGCCAGAAACTCAGACCCCTAGGCAAAACTTGTTGCCAGTACGGGGACAGAAGAGTTGAACAGGGATCCTGACATTATACACCTGAACATTGCCTTGAAAATGGTTGTTTCCCTTTATTTTGGTGTTGAAGAAGCCATGTTTGAATTGGGCCTCCAGAACCACACAAGCGCTTGAGCCAAGTGATCGTCCGGGAACCCTCCCGGTGCCTTCTGTTTGTGGGAGAGTAGCTCACTTGCTCGGTGGACTGACCAAACAAAAAGCGCAGACATTAAGTTGTATGCCACGAAAATGGTCCAGATCCAAAAAGTTTCAACTGAACCCAGGGCGTGAGCTAAGCCATCCGTCTGGACATGTAAAAATTGGCCCCCCGCAAAGTGACTCGGGCCCAGGAAGGTGGGACATGAGCTTTCGCCCTCGGGTCAAGCGTCCGATCCAGGCCAGGGGCTGCTCAAAGAGATCGAAATAGAAAGCTCGCCAAGGTGAGGTCTAGGGGCGATCGAGGCAGGGTACCTCAGGTGAGTGGGCTAGCACCTAGATAACCAAGTTGCTGCTTTTTTCAGCCACTGTTGCTGGTTTTTGAGTAAAGTTCATGGAAAAAGCGGCAACTGGCGATCGAGATAACCCACAAAAGGTATGGATATAGGTCTCCGTTCAGTGGCTTGGAGCCAGGCTTCCTAACCACTTACCTGACCTACCGAATCGATCGACCCTTTAAGTGTACATCATTTTGGTCAAGCCCCGCACCTGGGCAATATGTCAGAAGGCCCCTAACATTGACCGAGTCAATCTGGGTAAACTATGCTTCACTAACTGAGGCCTGCAAAGGAGATCTTTCGACCAGGCCTGCAACATCTTGGGGCGAAGTCTCGCTAGCGACTCGACCGGCGATCCCCGGATCGACTCCCCGCACTTTCGCAGCGCATCACGTCTCTCGGCGCAGCTCGCGGCGCCTCGCGACCGAAAAAAATAAGCCAAGCGCCTCTTCGAGCTGTCTTTTCGGACCTCCGGGGCCTGGGGTACCCAGAAAATAACCTCCTGGAGTCTCCAAATCGGACCCTTGAAAAATGGTTGGTCATTGACCCAAAATTATGGTTGGTCATTGACCCATTCTTAAGGGTCAGAAGGAAACTCCAGGTACATGGGAAAATTGTGAACTGTATCAATGAATTGGGCTCCCGAAACCTCTACCGCTGTGGTTCGATAGGTCGACATCTCAATCAATGAAACTGGGGACAAAACACAACTCACCCAACGTAGGGTGTCCTTTTGGGAAATAAATGGCCCGGGTAGATACTGAGGCAACCAGGTCAAGCAGAGCCATCTATGTTCAAATTGTACCAACTAGACCACGGTTGGCCCGAAAGCAGAACATCGCAAGCGAGGTCGGCCCAACGCTGCAGGATGCGTTCTTTTTCCCTACACTTCGTGAAGCAAGCGCGAGACAGCACCAGGCAAGGTGCTCTGCGCAAACTGGTCGGTGCAAGTTGGTCTGCGCAAGTTGCTCTACGCAAGTTGCACTGTGCAAGTTGCTCTGCGCAAGTTGCTCCGCGCAAGTTGCTCCGGCAAGTTGGTCCCTGCAAGTTGCTCTGTGCAAATTGCGCTCCCTGCAAGTTGCTCTGTGCAAGCTGCTCTGTGCAAGTTGCTCTGTGCAAGTTGCTCTGCGTAAGTTGCTCTGCGCAAGTTGCTCTAGGCAAGGCGCTCTGCGCAAACTGGTCGGTGCAAGTTGGTCTGCGCAAGTTGCTCTGTGCAACTTGCTCTGCGCAAGTTGCTCTGCGCAAGTTGCTTTAAAATGCAAGTTGCATCTTGCGACGCCCGCCCGCGGACCAGGGAGGAATCGAACCCGCGACCCGCCGGTTCCGGGAGCAGGCGCGCGAACCACGAGACAACTCCCGAGGACCAGTTCGAACAACAAAAGTCGCAAAAAACCTTGAGTTTTTGCACCTCGACCACGCCGATTCCCGCAGAGGGTTGCGCGAGCACCGCAGAAATCGCAAAAAACCATGGGTTTTTGCACCTCGACCACGCCGATCCCCGCAGAGGGTCGCGCGAGCAGGTTAGAAATCGCAAAAAACCATGGGTTTTTGCACCTCGACCACGCCGATCCCCGCAGAGGGTCGCGCGAGCACCGCAGAAATCGCAAAAAACCATGGGTTTTTGCACCTCGACCACGCCGATCCCCGCAGAGGGTCGCGCGAGCAGGTTAGAAATCGCAAAAAACCATGGGTTTTTGCACCTCGACCACGCCGATCCCCGCAGAGGGTCGCGCGAGCAGGTTAGAAATCGCAAAAAACCATGGGTTTTTGCACCTCGACCACGCCGATCCCCGCAGAGGGTCGCGCGAGCAGGTTAGAAATCGCAAAAAACCATGGGTTTTTGCACCTCGACCACGCCGATCCCCGCAGAGGGTCGCGCGAGCAGGTTAGAAATCGCAAAAAACCATGGGTTTTTGCACCTCGACCACGCCGATCCCCGCAGAGGGTCGATTTTCGTGTAGTGTCGTCGGCACTACCCCGCCGCCCTAAGAAGAGATTTTAACTCCTCGCAAGTCAATTGCACTTGACTCCTTGCACTTGCAACTTGCACTTGACTTGACTCCTTGCTTGCAAGGAGTCATTGCAAGGAGTCATTGCAAGGAGTCATTGCAAGGAGTCATTGCAAGGAGTCATTGCAAGGAGTCATTGCAAGGAGTCATTGCAAGTCATTGCAAGGAGTCATTGCAAGGAGTCATTGCAAGGAGTCATTGCAAGGAGTCATTGCAAGGAGTCATGAGAGCCATTGCAAGTTGCAAGGAGCCAAGTGCATGGAGTCAAGTGCAAGTCGCAAGTGCACGGAGTTAAGTGCAAGTTGCAAGTGCAAGGGGCCAAGTGCAAGGAGCCAAGTGCAAGGAGCCAAGTGCATGGAGTCAAGTGCAAGTTGCAAGTGCATGGAGTCAAGTGCAAGTTGCAAGTGCATGGAGTCAAGAGTGCAAGTGCAAGGAGTCAAGTGCAAGTGCAAGTGCAAGGAGTCAAGTGCAAGTTGCAATCCTTGCCATGACTCCTTGCAATGACTCCTTGCAATGACTCCTTGCAATGACTCCTTGCAATGACTCCTTGCAATGACTCCTTGCATTGACTCCTTGCAATGACTCCTTGCATTGACTTTCATGATGATGATTCCTTGCAATGACACCTTGTAATGACTCTCATGAGAACAATTCAAGTGAACCCAGCGGAAGAACCCTTCGCCATGCTTTCGGGAAAACAACCAAAAACCACACCTATATGCCCATTTTAGAGGGTTAAAGCCTTGGTTGCCCTCATCAAGTCAATATATTGGTCAAATGAGCCCAAAAAGGGCCATTGTGTGATTTCACTCTTTCAACAACAACCATCTTCAAGAACCGTCCACTTCGTTGGGGGTTTCTTTGGGCGGAGGGGTGGCAAGGTCCTTGATGGAAAGCGCTGCACTTTCTCCGCCCGGTTGTACAGCCTGTCTCTTATCTCCTCTCGGCCCGCACGCCCGGCGGACAGAAAATTCAACGCTAGGCCAAGGTGCCACAAAAGTGCTCTAAATCTATGCAGACGGAGACAACACGCTTTGACCGTGGCTCGTTTTCGATGGGCGGTTTCTTTTTCTTGCTCGATTGCCATCCTTACCTGCTTCTAACAGTTCGAAACGGCGTCAACTGGGGGCCCCGGGGTGCAATTACAGTATTCCACTTAGCTCCCTGACGCCCACTTTGCGGTCAGTCACTATTCATGTTGCGGCGAGTGGGTTGCCTTGCTACGGGTGTGTTGTATCCAAATGAAAAATTGTGCCTACCTTGGCCCTGTGCAAATTGCAGCGGCTCTGTACACTGTACACGTGCGGCCGTTGACACAATCTGTGGGCAAAATGGCGGCTGATGAAGCCAGACATTTAATACCCTCTACCCAACATGGTTTAGTTCTAACGCTAGCTTGCTCCCATTCTTTCCAGGGATCAACAAACCACAAAAGGCCCAGGAATGCGTTAGGGCCAGTCTACCCATAGATTGTCCAATTCTCATCATTGCCAAACAATAATCCTTTGTCAAGGGAGCTCACTTCGAAATCGCCCAAGCTCAGGCTGAAACAGGGGAAAATCTCTCGATCCGGGATTCTTGGAGGGAGCTTCCAACTTCGGCATGCCGGGAGAGATAACCAGAAAGCCCAAGAGGGATGAGGATGTGCCTTGATCCCATTTGGGCCCCTCAAGTACACTCTCAGAAGGTTCGAACTAAAAACTGAAAGAACATGAGCCGAAAACAGAATCTTCCCGTCCGGCGGGCGTTGCAAACTTTTCCCAAGCCCCGCTCGCAGCGAACTTTGCTCATCGGACTAGGGTTTAGCCAATTTCTGGTTGAAAACAAGGACAACTTTGGCTTTAGAGGAGTCACAATGGCCAGCCCAAAAGGTGACCTTCAAATCCACCAACGAGAACATATAATTAAGTGGACAAGTGAACAGAATCACCAAAGGTCAAAACATCAGACATGAACAGAGCCTTAAAAAACACAAATATGAACCAAACACATGTCAAGTGAAGAAAACTACCCGAACTTCCCCGCACCGAAGTATGTTTTCTGAATATGGTCCATATTTACCAAAAAACCAACGACGTGCAGAACGTCATGTCAAATGTGAGCCACGAAAAGACCTGCGAAGTACACGTTTCTTGGCAAAAACGAGGAACCTGGACTTCTGTCCAAACAGACAAACACCCTATAAGATGAAAATGGTCAAATCAAGATTCCTTGTTGGGCCTTCCCTCCAAACAAACAAGCACCCTACCACAAAACGGAGGGTGTTCAAATCAAAATCCTATTTCGGCCTTAAAAAAAACACGTACGGCAGCGGAACGGGTGACGAAGGCCGGCTGACTTCACCCCAGGGCCGCGAAGTTGTTCCGCGTCTTGGCTCCGGAAGCCTTGGCCGCAGCGGGCCGCGCCCCGCCGCTCACAGCGGTGTACCTGGGCTTGGCGAGGGAGGCCCAAGTGGGCCGCGCCCAAAGGTCATCGACGCTTGGGTTGCAACCAGCATGAGTTGAAGGAAGTTCAACAACACATATTTAAAAAAGGGTGAAAAAAACACATGTTCTGGTTAACTTAATTGAAATGTACGGTTTTTTTGGGTTTTGGAGTTGCAACATGGTTTCCGTACAAAGGTTGATTGATGAAGGCCTATGACATCTGTACCCCCAAAACAAATGCAAACCAGGGAGTAGATCTCCCTGCTTCAATGGCCAATAGGGATGCTCAAGCGGGTGTGTGGAGTTGAGGGTTTGTTCAAGTTGGATGAAAGGGAATCCAAGTATTTTGTCGCATCGCCAAGGGAAACTACCGGCCGGGAAACACACTGGCTCGGCAGAAACTACTCGCAGGAGTCCATCATTTGCACCGCTTGAATCACCCAGCTCCGTATTTGCAAAAACATTCTTACAATTTCGTTTTTTGGCTTTCATTGCAATGCGGTCTTAAAGGCTGGTGTACGGCCTTCGCCCGTTCTTTGGCTTTTGAGGGAGCACAAAGACATAGAAAGGAAGGTAGGGGTGTTCGGCAACAATGTGCTTGCATGCTTACCGCCGCTTTCTATCCCAGGAACATGACCCTTGTGACTCTGGAACTTCCTTTGCAGGCCCTGCTTCAGGGTGGGGGTTTTATGGTCCGTGGTGGGTGTAGGGTGGGTGTAGGGTTGGATAAGTGAGGGTGGGTTTACGGCCGTGTTTTCTGAGGTCAACCCCCTGCATCTCAGCCAGCCAGTACAGACCCCTATGTCTATTCTATCTTCTTACTCACATGCACTACACCTTGACGTATGGGGGTGGGTCTCAACCCGGCTGTTGAACGTTACCCTGGGGCGGTGCTCTGTTCAATAGGTGTTGGACGGCAGCACTTGGATTTGCAACGGCTGCAATAGAAATGCTTGTCCAACAACGCTGGCGCCAAGCTAGCACCACGAGTAGCAGTAGTAGTAGTAGTAGTAGCAGCAGCAGCAGCAGCAGAAACTAGTAGTAGTAGTAGTAGTAGTAGTAGTAGTAGTAGCAGTAGCAGTAGTAGAAGTAGTAGTAGTAGTAGTAGTAGTAGTAGTAGTAGTAGTAGTAGTAGTAGTAGTAGTAGTACTAGTAGTAGTAGTAGTAGTAGTAGTAGTAGTAGTCTTTGTTTGTTGTTGTTGTTGTTGTTGTTGTTGTTGTTGTTGTTGTTGTTGTTGTTGTTGTTGTTGTTGTTGTTGTTGTTGTTGTTGTTGTTGTTGTGGTTGTGGTTGTGGTTGTGGTTGTGGTTGTGGTTGTGGTTGTGGTTGTGGTTGTGGTTGTGGTTGTGGTTGTGGTTGTGGTTGTGGTTGTGGTTGTGGTTGTTGTTGTTGTTGTTGTTGTTGTTGTTGTTGTTGTTGTTGTTGTTGTTGTTGTTGTAGTAGTAGTAGGAGTAGGAGTAGGAGGAGCAGGAGAAGTAGCAGGAGTAGTAGCAGGAGTAGTAGTAGTAGGAGGAGTAGTAGTAGTAGTAGAGCAATAAAGTGAGCGAGAGCAACAGTAGTAGTAGCAGAAGAAGTAATAGTAGGAGTAGGAGTAGGAGTAGGAGTAGTAGTAGTAGTAGTAGTAGTAAAATAATCCCTGTTAGCAGTAGTAGTGGTAGCAGTAGTACTAGTAGCAGTAGCAGTAGCAGTAGCAGCAGCAGTAGCAGTAGTAGTAGCAGTAGTAGTGGTGGTAGCAGTGGTAGTAGTAGCAGCAGCAGTAGGCAGTAGCCACCTTTGCAATTGGGAGGTAACAAACGGGTCTGGAACGGGTTTTGATCGAACACCCACAGGGGAACGTTGCTCATACTCTGCTAGGCACGTGCCATGCTTTGCATGACAAATGAGCCACGCCCTTAAGGTGTCATGATTTGCTATGTCGTATCATTTTGCTTCCGCCACTAGCTTACGCCACCTTACGCGCTTGGAGATTTTCCTTACACGACACATGTGGAGGTTTTGCTTGCGCCATCAGCTTACCCCACTTTACTCGCGTCGAGTTTTGACTTATGCACAGGTCGATACGACAGCAGCAAGCAGCACATATTAGAAACCAAAAGAACAGCTAAATGTACACTAGACACTCGTCAGGAGCATGCACCAAACCCCGGGGAAAAAAAAACTGGGTGCAACACAAAACAACCGAGAACAACTCACACGTGCTGCCTGTCAACCATTGTCTTGTGGTATGCGTTTCAGTTTGTTTTGCCCATATGTTGAATAACTTTGCTAGATACAGTATATAGTATATTCCAGCATATTCCAGACACGTGCTGACTCGAGGAAACAGTCTCGTAAAAGCAATCACTAACACAAAACAAGTCGAAAACAAGTACGCACCAAACAAGGCCCCGGGAGAGATGTGTCCTCTTTCAAGCTGGATAATATTTGCTTGTTGCTTGTTTTCTCGAGGCTGCTTGCTTTGTTTGCAGTGTTTTCGCGCGCAAAACAAAGCCGGGTCGGCCTCTCGCTTGCTGGTGCGCTCTTTTCTTGGCACAAGGGGAAATTTGGGCGGCAAGCCTCTGACTGGACCCTCTAAATGGGCGGTGCGCCCGAACCGGTCTCCCTTTCACCCCGAGAAGTCACACACGCACACATACACACACCGTCTGGCCACGCAAACCTTGAAATGGGGGAGCGCTTTTTGGGCATTGGAAGGACACTGCCAAAAGGAAACCAACAGTTGGTCGCCGCCAGTGGCAACACAACAGGTCCTCATCCTGTCAAGCCCAAAGAAGCAACCCTGCGAACATCTACCCCTTTTTGTCGGATGTGTAGCTGATGGAAGATTTGATCAACGCAGACCGAATTGTTGCCTGGCGACTCTTCCCTTGTTCTGTGTGGAGTTGTGCCCCTTCTCGAAGATGTCCACTAGCCACACACAACCCCCAGCAGTTTACCAAACCAGCCATCCCTGGTAGATGATTAAACCACCAGGCAAACCAGGGCCATCCATTTTTCTAGCAAACCAACCAAAAAGGACACCTGTGACCACTAACAAAAATATAAAATTGTATGAAGTACCCGTGCGTGAGAGGGGGATGGACATCATCCAATCAAAAATGGTGTCCACTGCCCCGAAACCGCTCAGGGAAAAGCAGGGTGCGAGCCCTGTACACTTTGTGGCTATATAGTGGCGGCTTTTTCAATCAACCCACTGGTACTGGCTTTTCGGCCATCTTGGTTTCCTCTTGGATTCCCTTAACCCCAAAAAGGGGCACCCTCAAAAACGACAAACCTGAATGGACCGTGACCGTAACCCACTGACGCCCCGGGGGTGGTTTTTGGGTAGGATGTTTGTTGCCAAGCTAGTGGTTGGCTACCTAAAGGTGAACTCCACTGAACGGCGAGGCACTTATAAGCAGACCTAGGTTACGATCACAATTTATTAAGTACCCTCCCGTCTAACTGAGAACCCGACGTTTCAGGGTGGAAGTCTCTCGTCCTTGAAAAGGGGCCATTTCTCTGGCTCCATGCCAACAAGGACATGAGGGTACTTCCATGTTCGTTGCAGACCTCCTGGTAGCTTCTTAGCAAACTTGGAGACCCCCAGCTCAACGTGACGGCTCCCTTCAACTGCTGCGGTCGCAGTGGACCGGTGCATGGCTGTGGGCCCTTGTGATACCCATGGAAATTCGATTCCCATGACTACGGTTATCACTTTACAGGGCCAATGTGCGGGTAGCGGCGCCCAAAGTTTCTTACGCCAAGACACCCCCCGGACGACTTGGACTTCGCCTTGGCCTTCACAGCCAACCGCAGGTTGGCCTCGAAGGCAACGAGAAGGCTTCGAGAACGCAACTCTGAGGGCCCACAACCTCCAGGTGTTCATGTGTATATAATATAATACATATATATATATATATATAGATAAAGGCTTATTTACACACACAACCTGATATATGTATACATATATACACATTGTCGACATACTGTATCTTTTAGGATTCTGTCTTGTTTGAAGACCTGAAGATATAGGTACAGGCTTGCACACGTTGCTTTTCACAAATACATCTGTTTCGGGTAGTTTTAACGGCAATACCCTCCCTCCCGCGATTGTCGAAGCGCAAAAAGCCCCTTTCCAAAAGGACTGATTTGCTTGTCTTCAGCACGCTGCTGGGGTGACTTCTTCTGAGGACACCTATTTTGGAGGGTTGTTTTGAGGGCAGCTAAAAGCAACCCCCACCAACTTGGGGGCAGCTGAAATCATTTTGAAACACCCCCAGCTCCTTTTGGGATTCTACTTACGACTCTCCCCATTGAAACCCGGTGAGCCAGTGACTTGCAGATGGTTAGGACTTTGCGTGAGAATCTTGGATTGAAGCGCCTAAGAACCAAAGCTAAGTTTAAGCACTTCAACTAACTCGCACCAAATACCGGAGCCAAGGCATGAATGCCGGAGCAAACACCGGCATTCCTTTCCAGCTACAAAAGCTAAGTTTAGTTCTCGTGCCAAAACAAATTGCACGATTTGGCTGCGGGTCCAAAATGGGTAGCCAATTTTGGAACCCTAGTACCTGGAACCAAGGACTAAAACCTGCGGTCCGATTCCTGGCGCTTTAATTTTGACGCATACCCAGTTGGACAGCTGGAAAGTCTGGGACTTGCGTTCGGAACGTCCCATCCCAGACAAGAGGACTGACGAAACATGGCTGGGCCCAAAGCCACATGGTTGGCTTCAAGGGAAGACTTGGTGCGATGTGTGTAGGAAAAAAAAGACATGGAATGATCCCTTTTGGGAATCCCCAAAAAAGGGAACCGCCAGTTGGATGGCTTTTATCGGCTTCTCATTTCATTTCTCATTCCCTGAGCAGCAGAGAGAAAACCAACCCAAGATGGGGAGTCGAAACCCCGATTTTGACATGCCCACACGTCGGTTCAGATGAAAACCAGGCAACTCAGCGGGTCTGCAAACGTTACCCTCCCACCAATTTCCCAGGGACACTTCTTGGAGAGAAAGTACAATGTGGGAATGGGTGAAAATGAAACCACCACAAAACCGCATGTTTAAGAAAAGCATGTCCATTTACCAGCGGTAACCCATGTTGGGTTTACCATTTTTTGGACAACCACACCCAATTGACTCATCCTTTCAAAACATGTTTTTCTCAAAACATATTTGGGGAACAGGTTGGGGAACAGAATTGTTGAAGACCTTGTGCTCTTGGGGCCTGTTTGTCGACTTCGGCTGGTGCCAACGCAAGTTGAGTACAGCTTCCTTCGGTCGCGGCCGTGACGCTAGCTCTCAAGACGACGGCTACGCAGCTTTTGGGAGGTGTCGTGACAGGTACCAACTGGTTTGGTCAAGGGAAACCTCTGGAAGTGGGACGTAGAGCCTCCGAAGAAGCCAGGATGTGAGTGACCCTGGGAGGTTCCTATGCCGCCATGGACGATTGAACATCCACCTATCAACTAGTGTCAGGAAGACCCACCCAATTTTCAGGCTCCGCAGTGCTTTCATAAGTTTCGTGGGAATAATTTCCGAAACCCCAAGTCCCCCAAGAGACGAGGTCGCTGAAGGGGAGCGTGTCTCCTGCTGACATGCACTCACACTCGCAATCACAGAAACCCATCAACATCAACTCATAAAACTTGTCCTGCAGTTCAACTGGGTATGTGTCAAAGTGAGGATCTGGTGCTCCAAGGCGTTTCCCACCCAAAAGAGTCCCCTAAAACAAAAAACAACTAGATCTCATGAGTCATGAGTCATGAGAAGTCAGTCATACTCTGGAAGAAAAACAACTAGACCACGGTTGGCCCGAAAGCAGAACATCGCAAGCGAGGTCGGCCCAACGCTGCAGGATGCGTTCTTTTTCCCTACACTTCGTGAAGCAAGCGCGAGACAGCACCAGGCAAGGTGCTCTGCGCAAACTGGTCGGTGCAAGTTGGTCTGCGCAAGTTGCTCTACGCAAGTTGCACTGTGCAAGTTGCTCTGCGCAAGTTGCTCCGCGCAAGTTGCTCCGGCAAGTTGGTCCCTGCAAGTTGCTCTGTGCAAATTGCGCTCCCTGCAAGTTGCTCTGTGCAAGCTGCTCTGTGCAAGTTGCTCTGTGCAAGTTGCTCTGCGTAAGTTGCTCTGCGCAAGTTGCTCTAGGCAAGGCGCTCTGCGCAAACTGGTCGGTGCAAGTTGGTCTGCGCAAGTTGCTCTGTGCAACTTGCTCTGCGCAAGTTGCTCTGCGCAAGTTGCTTTAAAATGCAAGTTGCATCTTGCGACGCCCGCCCGCGGACCAGGGAGGAATCGAACCCGCGACCCGCCGGTTCCGGGAGCAGGCGCGCGAACCACGAGACAACTCCCGAGGACCAGTTCGAACAACAAAAGTCGCAAAAAACCTTGAGTTTTTGCACCTCGACCACGCCGATTCCCGCAGAGGGTTGCGCGAGCACCGCAGAAATCGCAAAAAACCATGGGTTTTTGCACCTCGACCACGCCGATCCCCGCAGAGGGTCGCGCGAGCAGGTTAGAAATCGCAAAAAACCATGGGTTTTTGCACCTCGACCACGCCGATCCCCGCAGAGGGTCGCGCGAGCACCGCAGAAATCGCAAAAAACCATGGGTTTTTGCACCTCGACCACGCCGATCCCCGCAGAGGGTCGCGCGAGCAGGTTAGAAATCGCAAAAAACCATGGGTTTTTGCACCTCGACCACGCCGATCCCCGCAGAGGGTCGCGCGAGCAAGAAATCGCAAAAAACCATGGGTTTTTGCACCTCGACCACGCCGATCCCCGCAGAGGGTCGATTTTCGTGTAGTGTCGTCGGCACTACCCCGCCGCCCTAAGAAGAGATTTTAACTCCTCGCAAGTCAATTGCACTTGACTCCTTGCACTTGCAACTTGCACTTGACTCCTTGCTTGTTTCAAGGAGTCATTGCAAGGAGTCATTGCAAGGAGTCATTGCAAGGAGTCATGGCAAGGAGTCATTGCAAGGAGTCATTGCAAGGAGTCATTGCAAGGAGTCATTGCAAGGAGTCATTGCAAGGAGTCATTGCAAGGAGTCATTGCAAGGAGTCATGAGAGCCATTGCAAGTTGCAAGGAGCCAAGTGCATGGAGTCAAGTGCAAGTCGCAAGTGCACGGAGTTAAGTGCAAGTTGCAAGTGCAAGGAGCCAAGTGCAAGGAGCCAAGTGCAAGGAGCCAAGTGCATGGAGTCAAGTGCAAGTTGCAAGTGCATGGAGTCAAGTGCAAGTTGCAAGTGCAAGGAGTCAAGTGCAAGTTGCAAGTGCAAGGAGTCAAGTGCAAGTTGCAATCCTTGCCATGACTCCTTGCAATGACTCCTTGCAATGACTCCTTGCAATGACTCCTTGCAATGACTCCTTGCAATGACTCCTTGCAATGACTCCTTGCAATGACTCCTTGCAATGACTCCTTGCAATGACTCCTTGCAATGACTCCTTGCAATGACTCCTTGCAATGACTCCTTGCATTGACTTTCATGATAATAATTCCTTGCTATGACACCTTGTAATGACTCTCATGAGAACAATTCAAGTGAACCCAGCGGAAGAACCCTTCGCCATGCTTTCGGGAAAAAACAACTCGGCAACTGAGAGGTCCAAACAAAACCCGAATGAGCCCTCGCGACCGGCGGTTTCCGCGCCTGTAGCCGCTCTTCAAAGACCTGCCACCCGGCGCCAGGTACCCTCAACAATTTTCTGGAATCCTTTGGAACCTTGCGTAGTGCGTCTTGTTTTTGGGAATCGAACCCCCTAAAATGGAATTCCGTTTTCCAAAATATGGTTTTGCTGTAGAATACCAACAAAAAGGGTACCCTCAAAAAAGGCACACCCATTTTAAGGCAAGCCCACCCTTTCAGCTGGGGCCTAACCAACTTCATTGCGAACATGGTTCCAAAGAGAAACTTCTTCGTGCCTGTAGGGTGCGCAGGGAATACCCCGGGCGTGTTCTTGTTGGGTCACATAGCGAAACCACGGGAGGTATCACCATTTTTGGAACGCCCCGTTTTCGGAACGCAGACTGGTTGGTCCGGTGTCAAGTTGTTGTTCCCCGGGCACCGCACAACGAGATGTGTAGCTTTCAGGAAGCTTTTGTAATGCCATGAGCCGTCCTATCACTAGTTGCTCATGCAAAAGGGGTTTTGCCTTAGTATCACAGAGAGTGCCTGTAAAACCCCGCTACCCAAACACATGTTTTGTAATGGTAAAAGAGCGTGGGGACAAATGCAGGGAGTCCATTTCGTGGCTGCAATCATTGGAGTTTAAAAACAATCCAGAGACACTTCGGTACAAGGGTTGAGATCTTCTTAGGCATTTGGCCAGCAGCTCCCGTCGTTGGCAAACTTGTCTGGAAAATAAGTGATCCAGGAGTTAGCTAACTAGGTCCTCCAGTAGAGAGGTTAGAATAAGTTGGTACCCTGTTTCCGAAGTCTATTTTACTAGGGGAACCCTCCCCACAAAAGGGAAAAAGTTGGCACCTGGCTGGGGGACCTTGCTGAGGTATTTGAGTGGCAAGTGGCCCCGATTTTGCCCTGGTTGCTGACATGCCAAATTCAAATTGGCGTGGACCGCTCCTGATCTCTTGGCCAAACAAAGGTTTGAACTTGCCATGTTCCGCTTCGTTGAAACAAAATGCGTCTTCCCAACAAGTGCCCAAACTTGTTTATGGTCCACTAAAACATGTCTTCCCAAAAAATGCCCATACAGATTCACTGGAGAAGGAGGTGTTGACCCAAGACGTATCCAGCCAAACAAATCCATCGCCAATAATTTGTGATAGACTACATAAGTGGAAGACTCAAGTGTTGTATGGGTAACCAGGGTTACAAAGTTAGGTGATATCTATCATTTTCGGTGTACCACCAAACCCCGAATTGGACACCCCCCATATCAATACGCTGGGGTTGATGAATCTGGGGTCAACATTTCCCTAACATCAAAGCTCAGACCAAATCTGAAACCTCATTCTCGGTTCTGGGGTCAACATTTCCCTAACACAGCTATAAGAACATGTCAAGCATCCATCCTTGGCTCGGTTGCTTTCCGCTCCCCTGCTGAAAGTTTAACTTTTAGTGGTTTAACAGAAAACCCATTTAGTTGGCAAAAAAGTTGAAGTCCTAACATCCCTTGGCAAAATGCAACAAAGTTCAACCCGCCAAACAGAATGCATGACCAACCATGATTTTGGGTCATGACCAACCATTTTGTAAGGGTCAGAAGGAGTCCAGGTTGGTGTACCCGAACTAACGTGTCAGAAGAAAAAAATCCGAACATCGAATTCTCGGTGTACCCTAACCACCTTCCTGGGTTTCCATCCGTCTGCCCGCGGCGCGTTCCCCGCGCCTTCCCCGACCGGTGACCAATTCCCCCCGCCTCGTCGGCTTCCAGCCAGCCGCGGGCGCGGGTCTCCAGCTCCGCAGCCGCCTCCTCGAGCTCGGGGCGCTCCCCCAGCCTGCGACGAAGCCGCGATGAATCGACGGGGACAAGAGGAGCACTAAGAACTGTGGGTGTATAGATAGATAGAACAAATACGTATGTATTGTTATATATATATATATATATATGCATGTCTATGGGGGTATAGATAGAACTAATACGTACATATATTTATATATATATATATATGTATAGAGAGATGTATGTCAAGTTGCGTGGGTTTTATCTGTGCATATATTGATTTGTTCATGTTCATTGTCTTTATGTGCATATGTCTATGTGTAGAATATTTTGGACAACACGGATGGACCCCTCTAGTTCTTGCGTTTCGGGCGGGCCGATGCATGCAAAATTGAAAGGGACCCCAAGAAATCACACGATTCCAACCCTTTAAAATGGATTGGGGCTTGGTTCCTAACCAAACTGTTGGCCAGGAGGCTTTTTCAGCTCCTCCATGGTGTAGTGTCCTGAGGCGGAAGTCGGATCTCGAGAATTGTCTGGAGAAAGGGCAACCATCTACAAATGATGAAGTTCTTAAGCTACTGGGCAAAGAATTACCAGGCCTTGATCCGAATTCATGGGTTGCCCAGACTAACAATCTACTGAACTTCCCTGAATATGTGGCTAATACCTTGCTAGGCCTTTGTTTACTAGGCGCGTGGGAGGAGATTGCGCCTACACCTGGAAATGAGGGAAGCCCCCCAGGGCTTTCATGCGCCTTGTACTCTCGAGTGAGCTTGTTCTCGCAGACGCTACTTGGAAGTTCAACCAACTTAGGAGGCTATGAAAATGGCTAAGGGGACCCACCCCAGGTACCCTAATTACAAACACGGTTGTGATCTACTTGCTAACTTGGTTGAACATCCAAGAACGTAGGTCCTACTGGCACGGTTGGATCCGTTGAACTCTGGACACTTGACTCTGGTTTGTAAGATGGGTCTGGCTCAAAGTAAGCCCTTCTTTGGATGGTGCCAAAGGTAAGCCAAACAAAAACCACCAAAAGCCCCGGCCGTCTTTTTTGAGGGTACCCCTTGCCTGGTGGCTTTCAAGGACAGCCAAGAGGAAAACAATTAGTGGCGATGGGACAAATGAAGAGAAGCCTCACATCGCCGCGTTTGCCAGCTCAAATGAACCAAGTAGGAGTTGCCAGTGTTGGCTCGCCGAAATCACACTAAAGCTCCCAAGGGGCCAGGTTGATGTGTATGGGTGTCAAACAGAGGGTGTTGCGACATCAAGAAAACCCATCCGCTTTTGGTTTTGCTTTTGGGAGAATTCACAAGTAGTTGTTGACTAATTTATTCTCCAGTTGTGCTCAGCTCCTTGGTTCCGGTTCTCAAGTTCTTACTTGCGCACAATCAAACATCGGAGGGTTCGAGCACATCCACCGTCGGAAGCCTAAAAGGCACAACCACCAGTGCTCCAGTGAGCTGTGCTCATCATGCAATCATGCAGGTCTGTCCGCAGGTTGAGTCAAGCCATGTACCCCTGTTGCCTTAGCGGTCGATGGATTCCCCCTCCACTTTGGAGGTTCCAACAAAGGAAATGGAGGAAACCCTGGCAATACAATGTACTCGACATTGCCTCTCATTCAGACACCACATAATGACCATGACAGGTTATGTCGCACCCAGGCTCACCCACAGGTTTCACTACAGGTTGACCGTCCGCACCCGTCCGCAGGCCAAGCGTCCTTTGCTAGCCTGCGATGCGCATTTGGTGAGGTGACAGGGGGGACCGTGAACACCAGCCCTAGCATGCGACATACCCTCCCTGCAGGCAAGTAATCCCAGAACAAGCAACCCCAGTTTATGAATAGGGGGGCGTTCCCCTCCAAAAGTTTCCCCACTAAACCCATGGACTGCCTTTTATTCATAAGCTGGGGTTGATTAATATGGGGTCAGCATTATAGTAGCTATGATCTATGGTTACAAGGGCTTTGCTAGACATATGGGCAGCAAAATGATTAACATGTTGCACCTGTGATGACTTAACTAGACAGCGATTTGCCTTTTAGTTGGGACCACACACACACACTTCGTTCCAGTCTACTGGGTGCTAAAACTGTTTTGCCAAGCAGCGCCTTGAAGCACAGACATGTAAGGAGGGGCGGTGCCAACAAGGAGCAACTTTACGCAATGGAGAGTTGTCTCTGCTGGAGCCAAGGTCAAAACATGCTCTTCCGTAGCAAATGGAAAGAGGGCCTGTGGCTCGCGGGAAACTGGGAAGATAGTTTCGTGCCTTTGTGCGAATTGATCATAACTGGAAATGCCCCTGTGCGAAACGAAGCACCCCAAAAGGGTTCCCTCAAAAAAGGCATACCCAAATTTACTCGTCTCATATTGGATTCAGGGGTAGGTATTCCTCATCTTACCTCCAGGGTAACCTGGGGAAAAGCCTGGACCCCCCAATGGACCTCCTTTTTCTACCTGACCCATGAACAAGTGGCACAAAGGCAGAAGAAAGGGATTCTTTAGCGGTCCATAAGAAGATGATTGGAACATCTCCGTCACTTGCAGCTGGAAGCGTTACCCAGTGCATCCCAGGCGTTTCGCCAGTATCCCAGTTACGCCCTTTGCCAGGTTCCATTTGGTTTAAAGGGCGGGGCACCCGTGAATACCTACACACTATACTATATAGGTGAATGCAATCACCGGGCTAGGGATACATTGAGTCTGCCCCACCTTAGGATCGGAAGACGACTCCAGGAGAGTGGGGAGGCGACTCGCAAAGCCCGCAGGGCCTCTCTCATCGGTCAAGGTACATATATATATATATATATATATAATACAGTTATTCAAGCCTCAGGAAACAAAACATGGAAGATGGGAAGGGTATCTGAAGTCTGGACAAAATGGCATCTATCCCACATTCTGCCATTCAGGAAACGTATCCCATTTTTTTAGACTTCGGGCTATAGGTTTCTCCTAGCTCGCGAAAGCCCCGCGCTCGGCTCGGCTCCGGCACCCGCGCAGCACCGGGCAGCGATGCCTTCTCAATGCGGTCCAGCTCAATGAGCTTCACCCGGAGCTCCCGGATCTTCGCGCCGTTCTTCAGGGCCGGCAGAGGCGCCTCGGACGACTCGAAACGCGGAAGGAGTCCGAGAAACGCCTCACGGGTTTTTTGCTTTTTTTGCACGCCCCAGCTGCATATGGGCTGAAACAAAACCCCGTGGACAACCCTTGTATCCTTATGCCTCAGTATCGGTCAGTATCGGTTTTTTTCCTCTGCATCGGTTTGCAGTGTTTTGGCAGCTCTGGCTCGAAAGTCGCGACTTTTCCGTACAAGTGTAGTTTGCGAAGTACACTCTGCCAGCTCTCAGCTCCAGCTGGAAAGTCGCAACTTTTCAGTACAAGTGCAGTAATTACACAAAGTACATTTTGGCAGCTCCAGCTGGAAAGTAGCAACTTCTCAGTAGTATGCGCAGTGCACTTTGGCAGCTCCGGCTCGAAAGTCGCAGCTTTTCAGTGCAAGCAAGCGTAGTATGGTGTAGTGTACGAAGTACATTTTGGCAGCTCCACAGCGAAAGTCGAAACTTTTCAGTACAACTGTAGTACACAAAGTACATGTTGGCAGCTCCAGAGAAGGCTGCAGGGCAGCTGGTTGGATTCGGCATGGCGGCCAATGAGTTGGGTATCGGTTGGGTATCGGTTTGGGTATCGGTTTGGGCCCCGCAAATTTATGATTCCGCAATCTTGGTTTGCGACAACGACCAGGACCTGATGTGTGTCTTCATGGCTTCTGGGGGTATCGGTTTTTTTCCTCTGTATCGGTTTACAATGGTTTTGGCCTGCTAAACAAGTTAAGGGACGGCCCCTTACATAACGAAAAGGCGCGGGGTTGTTTTTTCAGCCCATATGCTGGGTTCGGTGTGAAGCCACCAAAGAAAGAGTGATATGGCTGTGGGTCAAAAATGGGTACCCCAAATGGAACCCTGGCAGATGGAACCAAGGACTAAAACCTGCGGTCCCCTGGTGGTTAAATCTTGACCCATGCATATCCATATCGAGTGAAGGGTGCCGACTGAACTACGAAGCCGGTTGGAAGATTCGAGGCGGCAGTGGACGTCCGAGCGATGGGTTTAGCCCCGAGATTTCCCGTGGAAAGGTCCGCAAAAAAAAAACACGCATTGAACAAAAACTTTATTATATGCATGTGTTTTCTTCTTTTTTTTATAAGGAAAACAAACAGGACCTCTCGCAGGGACTTCCAATGATTTTCACGGATCAGTTATTCGAACATATTTGAATATAAAACAGAAGGATGATTGAAACAAATGCCCTAGAAACAAGGAACACTACGGTCTAGTTCGCTCCAGAGTCCAGATTCTTAAAAGCCACCCTCGGGCAAATGTCGAAAGATCCGAGGGCTTGCAATTAATAGCTCGGGTTGGCTCAAAATGGATTTCCAAAGCTTGTTCCCTTGACAGCGAAAGGGAATCATTAGGGAGACAAGGGGCAGTGTGTTTTAAAGGGAAACCTTCTAAAAGAAACAAGGGCACTGGGTTGCTGGTTCTCAGGTTTTGATAATGATGGGCAAAATCTGATACTCAAGGAAACTACTAGGAAGGGTCTTTCTTGTTCTTTTCATTTTTTTGGGGGGGCACTTTCGCATTTCCTGCTGAGCACCCTCAAAATAGGGAACCTCCCCCACAGACAATAACAAGGGCGGTCCCTTCTTCGATTTCCCTTTGAACCAGAACCAAAAAGGGCAAAACAACAAACACACATTCAAAGGGGACACGGCGATCCGCATCCGGACGTCGGCCTAGTCGCGTCCAAAGGCGAGGTGCTGCGTCCGCGTCCTTCACCGTGGCGCGGGTCTGCTGCATCACCTCCAGCTGCTGCTTCAGAGCCTGAAGCTGACGTAAAACGGATGCCACCCCTCGATTTCCTCAAGTCCATTGGAGAAAATGAAAATAATTTCCCGGAGTGATAGGTTCTCATTTAAGCCAGGGGGGACATATATAATTAATATTCTTAAGCAAATGGAAGTAAAACGGCGGATGACAACTCGATATCGCAAGGAGGACAAGGACACCGATTCTCGACTTTCCCGTGATATGCCATGGCTTGCTTGTTTGCTTTTTGGTACCATCTCTATTCTTGGTATGGTAGCAAAAAACTGACTGTTTTTTGCAGACCCCCAGTAAAAATGAACAGAACCAAAAGACAAAAAACAAAACATGATCCAAGAACAGTGAACGTACGGTTGGGATTTTCTCGCAAAATATTTCGTGCAACCGTGGCATGCTCCTGGAGCCTTGACCCAATGCTAAACTAATACGCAGCTTCTCACAGCCCTTTTCAGCGAGTACTTTCAGTACTTCCCTTCTTTAAACATAAAATTCGAATTGCAAATTGTAAATAATATGTCTAGCTTTTAAGTTTGATTTGACAAAACCAATAAGTGCCTTGGGCAGTTCATTAATAACAACAACTTACTCGGCATAATGCAAATTGAACGGTCTTTGCGCCCGGCAAAGGGGGGACGCCGCTTGGGACCCCCTGGGGCCTTATCAGTAAATATATTATCCCACATATTCTTCACTAATAGGGGGAATTGGGGGCAAGCGATAAGTGAGTCCCTCAGTTAGGTGGAACAGCAAATACTGAGTCCTCCCATGCCCCTCCCAAATGAACCGTAGGCTACCAGTAAGTTTGACCGAACCTCACATGGGTCAAACGTAGGATGCTCCCGATCAACCCGCCGCTTCAGTTCGTGTTCTGGAGCATCCTAAGTGAATAGAGGGTATGCTTACAGAAGAAAATGATGGTCTTGAACCGCAAGCAAATCTGTACTCTGGTGGTTGCCTTTCAGGAGCATTGCGATTGATGCCTGAAACTCGGGAACCTGTGAAGAAATCCAAAGCTCACCTCGAACCTATGCTGATCCAAAGCGCAACGCCAGCAATTAAGAGGTCGAGTCGCTTTGTGCGAAAGGAAAGCAAGGCAAAGGCAACCCAAAGGCAAGCCAACGGAAAGCCACAGGAGAGCAGGCGATCGCTCCCAAGGCCCCAGGCATGTTGTCCAGTGACCCGATGGGTATTTATAAGGCAGAATACCTAGTACTAGCGGTCAGTAAGCCGATCGCCCCAGTAAGGGGAACCTTTTTGGATCGGTTCCATTTCGGAGTCCCACTGAACTGGCCGCAGGCATTGAGTAGCCTTGTTGTACAGCCGAATGGGGGAGCCATGAGACTTCCCAGCTGCTATCCTTCGGAGGTTGTGTACTCGCTTGATTGGTTTGCCAGGTGTTTAAAGTCACACGGACAGCTGCAGCTTGCCCCATCCCGCCCGCCTGGGCTTTTTTGGCTTTCCCTTCAGCCTGCATACGGGAAGCCCAGAATCACAAATTGGCCCCACCCATCTTCCACACGATTGGTGGTTAGGATTGGTGGTCGCGATTGGTTTGGGGATTTGAACCCCGAGTTGATGAAACCGAAAGGGCGCTTTGCCGGGGGCCCCCAATCTCCACCCATCAAAACCGGGATCTTGCACCTCTCGCTGAAAAATTGACAAAGGGAACCCCAAGACCACGGAACTTGGAGGCCAGAATCCTGCACCCGCGCAGATCCGCTGAGCAGAAGTGGAAGGACATTCGAAAAAAAACAGCCCTTTGAGAGAAATCTCCTTTTGGGGGAACCCTTTTGCGGGGTTCCATGTGAATTCCAGAGCACCGCAGCGGCCTTCCTCGGTGGGCCCAACATGTCTCCCCAACACGAAATTCGGCTTCAAGGCTCTAGGGAACCCCTAGCCCTACATCAGTTGTTTCCTGAGGGAACTCGGTTTTTCGGATTGTTTTGAATGGACACCAAGAGAAAATGCTCATTTCCGGTCTTCTTCCAAACTTGGCCACAAAACGCTGGTCTGGTGCCGCTCGAAGTCTGGGAAGGCTCCCCCAGAAGGTGATTGGAGAAATCAAGGAATATGATGTCTTCAGATTCTGTTTCATATAGTCAGTTTGAAATGTTAAAACACAACTTTAGCCAAGCTTAACATGTACAATATGGGTGTGTCTTTCTGTTTTTTGGAGGATACCCTTTTGGGGTCGGCTTTTAACCGGGTTTGCAAAGGGACACCAACCACTGGGTTTCCGAAGTTCCGAATCCAATTTGAAGAACAAACAGTCACTGGAATTCCCGTAGAAAATTGAGCAAGGCGACTGGTGGTTTTCATTGAAAGGATCGCCGCTTGAGGTTCCAAAAAGCAAGAAGAGGAGGAACTGTTGACATTTACTGCTTTGAAACGTTCGCCAGGTTCCAAAAGGGGAAATGAGTCATAATCAAACCTTGGTACTAAAACGGTCTATCCAGAACCATGCTTCAACAATTGAGAAGGCGGCGAAGCCACCTATTTCGCTACCCGAATCGGTTTTGAGAGGTGGCTCAATGAGGTTCTTTAAACAATGTTGGCTCAAACCTGCGGAACTGTTCAGGTATTTGTTTCTGCCTACCCCTTTTTGGCTTCCTCTAACCACCGTTCCCAGCCCATCGCCATCGCCGTCGCCATCGGCGGAATCGTCGGATTCGCGGACTTCGGCCTCAGCTTTCGCCAGCTCCTCCTTGGCCATGGTCACTTTGGACTCCAGTTGCTCCTCGGGGATCTGACGGCTTGGGGAGTTCTTGGGGCGCCAACATGTGTTTGTGTGTGTGCTTTCTGTTGTGTGTGGTTTTTGGGGGGACGGATGACATGGAACCTACGAAAAGAACAGGTGTTGCGATACGGTTATGTCGCACATCTTGATTGAAGAATATTGGCTCGGGTTGGGCAAGCCAGTGTCTTTCATTGAAACCAGAAGGGAATTCGCTAACTCCAAACAACTCTGTTCACTCTTTTCAGCATGCAGCGCGAGCTCAGCCTATGCCAAGAACCCCAAACAACTACCACCAAGGGAAAATTGGGTATACAACACCTGGGATTTGGCAGGTGTTGTTGGAACAAGCGGACTCGATTCGGACCCTTTCGGGGGGAAGCCCAAATGAGGTTGTTTGAACAATATTGGGTACCTGAAGATTTCCGCAGCATGTTTAAGCCCCTTTGGTTTCCTCTTCTAACAGCCTCACCAATGTACAATCAAAAAACTGGGGAGAACCAAACATATGGCTTGGAAGAATTACTCTTCTACAGTTCTTCTTGTCTTGGGTGAACAACCCTGATATAGGATTGACATTGACACTCAGCTTTGGTCAAAATTGTGTTTCAGAGTTCGTCCACGGTTCTCTGACATAGTTCGGCTGATAGTCAGGGGCTTGGGGTATGAACAATGCAACCTGGGAGTACGCACGCGTTCCTCATTTGTTTAACAACAAAAGTTTGACCGCATCAGCCGTGGTCAAACAAAGTGCTTTCGAAGGTACCCTTGTGTTGTTCAAGCCAAAAGGAACATCGCCATTTTGGAGAATCCCCGCATAAAAAAGACACACCTATATTGGCCTCACCTAGAGGATTTTGCTGCGTTGCTCTTCCCCGAGGAAAAGGTCTGTAATGCTTGGCAGGTTGAATGGAAAAGCCATTGGTTTCCGAAAGGACTCAGGGGAGTTTCAGACCAGCCATGTTTAGGCTCACTTGCCCAAAGGGCCTGGACATACAAGGTTCATTTTCGCCTTTTTTGGAACCTCGACCAAAAAAATACGGGGGGCAAAAAGGGGAACACCCAACGGTCCGATCCGGTCGATTCGCTTTGGAGCCAAGATGCCAGGAACTCAGCCTTCTCCGCGGCCGTGAGCTGGCCTGGGAATCGATCCACGGAATCGGTTTGCGCCAGTCGTGTCACACCCCATTTTTTTTGGCCTCGGCGGTGCTTTTGGCTTTATCCCTTTCAACAGGAGGACCCTCAAAGCAATCCAAGCACGGCCCGGGTAGAAAATTGAGAACCCAGGTGTTCGCGGAAACCATTTTCCGTCTTTGGGTTAATGGCCATCAGGCCAAAAGAAGCAATCCATTTTTGGCTTGCTTTCAAATACAGCAGGTTGGGTTCCTCGGCAAAAAAGTTGTTTGGCGCAGGTGAAAGTTTCCTCTCAAACAATAAAGAAAATGGTCAACAATAAAGAAGCTGGTGGTCGAGAATGCAACGCCTCACCCATAGGGCAACTGGTCCCTTCTATTGCAAGGTAAAATTTATGTTATAGCTGCCAGTGCCAGGGTGTAATCGGATGGGCCTGAATCCCCAGTGGCACAACAAACCTTGCTGGTTCGCAGCCGTGTCCCTCGAAGATGCGTTCATCCTCGCGCGCCTGGATTGATAATCTTCCACCCAAAGGTGCCTGGGTTGATCTGACTCTCTTTTACCCAGATGTGGTTTGATAAAAAGGGTCCTGTTAACAGGGAACCCGCTCAAAACTGGTTGGTTTCCTCTCAGTTTCCTTTTAAAGCCATCCGAAAGGGGCCCCCAATTTTGAGACGGACCCAAATTTGTTGGGAACTCGCTCGACTTGAACCCTGGCCTTGTTCTACCATCTCCTTCATCTCCGCTGTCACCACCTTGATCTTCTCCTTCAGGTCCTCTCGAAACGAACAGGCAAACGGGCAGACCCTCCCATGTGGAGGTCCTTTGTGGACTTTTGTCCAGCCCTGGATTTCTGGTTGGTTGAGCAAAAACAAAAACAAACAAACACACATAGACATGTGACTCAAGGAATTATCCACCCTAGAAAGAAAGAAAAAGGAACCGCTCCACCCTACGTCTGGGCCCCTACCATTAAGGGGAAATACTCCTTTTAGTCCAAAAGGATTGATTTCCAAAAACCATTCCCTTCCCATCACGTCCTTACAGAACCCAAACGGCTCCCAAAACCGCCAGCTAGCTTTGCCCCCCTGATCACTCGCACAAGTCCCCCCCCCTTCTTCGCCCGGGGCATCCGAAACAAAAGACTTCAAAGACCCAAAGGCTCCTTACCCCTTAAAACTCCAAGCCCTGGGGAAGTTAATCTTTTACAGACATATAGCCCATGTTACCCAAAAAGTTGAAAAGTTGTGTTTTTAAGAGGTAAGGATCAATCTCCAAAACCCCTCCCCTTTCCACCCTACAGCTCCCAACCGCCAGCTCCTCATCCCTTCCCCCACCGCCCCCGGCTTCCCGAAAAACGGCGACTCCTCCGCGCCCACATCCTCGAAGAGCGCCTCCTCCTCCGCCGAGAGCCGCTCCAAACGCGCCATGCGCGCCTCGATGTCCTCGAGGAGATGGTTTTGCAGGGCCCCGTCAAGCAAACACAAGCCCGTCCTTCTCAAGAAATCAGGTTCTTAGGGCCTGACAAATTGATTTTGGGGGAACATCGAAATGTCGCAGATGCCCTTTTTGGCATTTCCAGGGGAAAAACCGATTCAACGGGTATCCCTTTTTGGTTGAGCTTACGAGGGGAACCCTTCCCCAAAAAACAAAAAACACGGGCGCCACTGGGGGAGACGTGGGACATGGAATCCGTCTTTCTTGTTTGGGGCGAGACCCCGCGGAAGGGCTTCATGGACATTTTTGTAAGGAAGCTATAGCCCAAGTTTTGGGTCCCAAGAAAAGAGCTTGGGTCTACTTCTGTTTTTTTTTTGGTTTTTCCACCTTGGAAACCCACCAACCTTTTGGGTGCCCGGTCTTGTGGTTTCCTTCCCTTGGAAACCAACCAAAGATTTGGATGCCCAAAACACATCCAGTTTACCCCGAGACTTCAACCCCGGAGCCTGCCCCTTTCCAGGGTTGACGCCGACGCCATCACGGGAAACATCTGCCGATGGTCGAAATCAAACCGAGGCTTCGTGGGCCGGCAAAAATGAAGAATTTCCTGCGATGCCCACCATAGGTCCCTTTTAAACAGGAAAATGGTCTGGGTCCTCCAGATTTGAGAGGTTAGAATAGTTTGGTACCCGATATTTGTTTATGTTTTTTTTCTGTAGTCTCTTTTAGGGGAACCCTCCCCACAAAAAGGGGTAAAAGGGCACTACTGGGGGCCCTAGGTGTCTTCCAGGATCCATGTTTGATGTCAGGCTGGTGGATGAAAAGGCTTGCCAACCAGAGCTTGCTCCATGCCCCGACTTCGGCCATGTTCGAGCAAACAGGTTCCAGGAGCCAACAAGATGGAACCTTCCTTAAAGGCAATCTTGGGCCCCAACAAATAAGGGCACCTCCACACCTCGTTTTTAGGTCCGTTTTTCCAGTGCCCCTCGGGCTGCAACGAAATTATTTTTGATCCAAAGAACGGCCACGCGGAAAAAGCGTGCGAAGCGCGCGCGAGAAACGCGCTTTTTTTTCCCCTGGCCGGCGAGCGCCAACTTGGCGGCGGCTCCGCACGGGCGAAGCGATTCTGCGAGTGGAGCTGTAAGTTACAAAGGCAAATTATTGATGGGAACGGATGGGGTCAGCATTTGCGGGGATAGGGGGAAGCGGGGATCCAACGAAGCAGGGTAGGAATGGAAGAGTCATCCATATTCCTGCTTCCGCCATATCCCCTGCTAGTCCGTTTCACAAAATTTCGGCTGTGCCAACCTGGGTATCTTCAGGACTGCCATTCGCCGGAGGCTTGACGTCACCGCGAGCAGAGCCTCGCGTGAGACAGGGCAAAAAAACGCTCGGTTCACACAACTAACTAGGTCCTCCAGCAGAGAGGTTAGAATAAGGGTACCCTTTTTTCCGTAGTCTACTTTAGTAGGCGAACCCTCCCCCCAAAAAAGGGTAATTAAAAGGGCACTACTGGCCTAGACATCTTTTGTTTCGGCGACCTGTAAAACGGGTTGGTTCAAAGGGAACCAAAAGGCCCACAGAAGCCTTTTTTTGTCTCCTGACACATATCTCGTAAGGGACATGGACATATTAGTGCGCCCCTGGTTTGCGTTTGTTTTCTTCTTCAGCTCGTCTCAAACGTCCCTGCCAACTTGACCGCATTGGACATGTTCACCCAAACTGGACATTACGCAGCGGCCCCCATGGAAGACCCCCACCCATTCGGAATGGGCTTAGGGTCAACACACCCCAATCTGAATATCTACCTCACATTTTGCCCCCCCCCCCCCAAAAAAAAAAAGAAGAAGAAAGAAGTTTGTTTGTTCTAGCCGGGCCCATGTTTTGCGCCTCACTTGCCCAATGGACCAAGAATAAAAGGCTTAACCTTTTGGGACGCTTCGAACAACCGCCAAAGAGATCGCAGCAAAATTGACACTTTGACTCGACCATTCCTCAAAAGGTACTAGGAACTAGAGCGGGTGTCACCTGCCAATAAACCATCCATCCTGTGGTTTCCTTTTACGGGATCCCTAGGCTGAGTCCCAACACCCGGACTCGGTCATTCCCTACCTATCGCAGCAGCAAGAATGGGTCGCACCAAACGGGCCGCATCCTCCCCAACTGCAGCTGGGAAGCCATCCGCCCTACGAGCACCTCGCACGCGCCGATGGTCCCGCTGAAGCTCGTTGCATCTGCCAGCTGGGTTTCCTTATGCAAAGAAGACCAGGGGGGGAGCTGGCTGGGTATGATACAAACCTATTCTTGGTCAGCATTCCTCCTCACTAAAACTAGGAAAGAAACATAGGTGTCCTTTTGGGAACATAGATGGGCCATCCACCTATTTCTATCCAAACTAAGCTAAAATGGAGGACACCAATGGATAAACATAGTATCTTTGTTCATCGTTCTAGTCAAAGGCCAAGAGGGAGAATATGGGAAGGCTTTTGGAGATAAAAGGCACCGTTCTGGCTTGCTTCAAAGAAGCCGAATTAGACAATATGGGCTAACACCAAGGCAAAGGAACCTGAATGTTTGCTTTGAATGAAACTCGAAAGGAAATGACACACTTGAAGAAGTCCCAACCATTCCCAACTCAATGGCAACCAAAATCGACATGGTTGGGTGAACGTTCGCCGTCGTGACTGGTGAAAGTCGTTCTTGCATTGCTGTAACCTTGAAGTGCGTATTGTACATGTTTTACATCGGATTTGAAAAAAGGTGATGCTGAATAAAAGCGGCATTTGGTGCAAAACACGCATTTCGCGCTCTGGTAGGTTGGTCGCCCCAATGTTAAAGGAACATATGGTTGCACAATCCACAAAGGGTATGTGTTGCCTTCATGTTCGCGGGACACAGCTCTTTCTGTGATTCCAAGGTGGTTCATCCCCATCCCGATGACTACTTGACCAATTGCCTTAGGATCACAGAACATGCCTATATTACTGGGCCTGTGTGAATGTTTTGGGGGGGGAACTCTCAACAACGGCTGGTGGGACGGCACTCAAGCCCCATGTAAACTACAACTACCGACGGGCAATCAACAATTTCGCCCACATAAAGGCACACTCGCCTCCTGAGTGGATTGGCAGGCAATTACAAAGTCAAAACTCCTTGGTTACGTGCCACTGAAATGGTCCAAGCCCAAGTGCCCGAAAAATCAAGGAACTCGGGGAGCCAGAACGGGTTCCACAGCTTTGATTCTTTCCAGTGAAAAAGGCCGATCCTCTTCGGGCCGCGATTCATTCAAAGCCCCCAGCAGGGCCACCGCCGCTTGCCAATGCCGTCCCACCGCACATGTGCCAATAGCGGCATTGAAACCTAAGGTGCCCGCCGGCAAAAAGTGACAACTTCTAGCTGAGGGGGACATTGGGAGAACAAACGGGCATTTTGTTTTGCTTAAGTTAGTTCAGTCTGGCAATGAATGCTATTGGGGGCGTTGTTGTTGTGGGTCGGGGTGGGGGGGGGGTCTTGTGCGCTGAGCATAGGCCGGCAACTTCGTGCCTATGTCAAACCGGCGGTGCCCAAACCCCTTGACTCTTGGTTCTACCAACATGGTTCTCAAGGTAAACGTGTACTGTATACTCCTTTGGGGACCAAAAGGACTGACAAAGGAAAACCGTAAGAAAGGAAAAACCAAAGAGGTCAAACCGTCTGAAGGTGTCAGCCCTTGTATCCCTTTCAACAGCGCAAGGGTCCAACAGGACCCAAGGGCAAGCCGAACAAAAGCCCAACCCAAGCGCCCCGAAAGCCATGCGAAAGGAAAGCGCCCCGTGGGCTATGCATTGAACGCCAAGAGAAATGAGAAATTAATAGACATGGCCTCAGGTCGGACCTTGCAGAAAGGTTCTCACCTTCCTTGTTTGGAAACAAGAAAACAACATCCGAAATCCATTTAAAGGGTTGGAGCCCTCACAACATACCTGGACCTTCCAACATGTAAAATTAACGCCGTTTCCCAAAACAGCAATAATTTCCGCCGGTTGCTGAAAACAACGCTCTTTCGGAGAGAAAGCGCTCGCCGTGAGTCCAGTTCGGAACCAGGCAAAAAAAAAACGCCGTTTCGCCGGCAAATTACGCCGTTTTGACGGCGAATTACGCCGTTTTGCAATTTTGATTGATGCTAGAGTGTGCAAACACTGAAAATTGCCGGCAGGCGAAAATAATCGCCGTTGGGTCAAAAGACATAGCTTTTGACAAAACAGCAATAATTTTGCACATGTTGGAAGACCCAGGTATGGCTGTGGCTCAAAAACCCGGTACCAAAATGGGCTGCCCTGGTAAGTGGAAACATGGTGGCCAAAACCTGCGGTTTGCCCCTCCTGCTTAATTTTGAGAACCACGCCCAGATTGGGGCAACAAACCAGGCCCATACTTTACACAGCTCTGGGAGCTGGAAGACCAAGGGAACCGGAAGAGTCGGCCATGGCAACGGAAGCACAAACCTTCAGTGGCTTTCCCGGGATAAACAGGGGGCACCCTGGTGTGGTAATTAGTCGCCGTTGCAGGGGGGAACCCCTACAAGGTCCTCTAGATTTGAGAGGTTAGCATAAGTTGGTCCCCGATTTTTTTCTGTGGTCTATTTTAGTAGGGGAACCCTCCCCCCAAAAAGGGTAAAAGGGCACTGAACAACCTAGCCTACCCAAAAAAGGCATTCAACAGGAAATGTCCCACTGGACGTCTGTGGCAGGGTCGACTCGCTTGCGGCAAGGAAGCTGATCAGGTTGGGCTCCGCCGCCGTTCTCGCCATGCCAAACAGGGCCAGCGAATGCCGCCAGTCAGCACTTGCCTGAGCTTATACTCTGGGTGAATTATACTATTTCACCAACCTGAAATAAGGAGGTTGGAGGGCTACTCCCCCACATAAACCACCATTTGGGGTGAGGTCGTGTGAGGTCGTTACAATTCACCCAGATATACTCCACTCCGATACCAAAGCAAAGATGCATGTTTGGGCAGATCCATGTCAGTCTGCAAAACGCATAAATTAGCCATGACGACATCGCCTACTGCAGCATATAGCATCGGGCAAACAATCAAAGCTTGTCCATTCCCCCTGTCGTATCGGAGGAGAAAGTTGTGTGGTTGCTGCTGCACAAGGATCGGCCATTTCTCAAATATCCCTTCAACTCAAGGGCAGAATACATATCTTCTGCGAATGGAAACGAACAGAGGACCAGTTCTGCAATGATTCCTGGCATGGTTGCTTCCCATTGTTGAACTTGGCCCGAAAGGTGATGCCCAGAGTACACCGAAAATTGGCTAAAATCCGGGGTACACACAACATGATATGATATGTTTAGATTCTGGTCCATTTGTTCTCAATCTGACTTTTGACACATCAATTCGAATTGGAGGAGACTACAAAAAAAGGCACGTCCAGGGAGCCCAGTTGCAGAGCTGATGGTCGCGTTGAAGCTGACGACGTTGGGCCGTAGCTGCGCTTGAGGCACTGCCTGGAACAACGCCACTGCCCGCCGCCAAGCGCCTGACGTGGGGTTTCAGACGGATGCGGCTCGGGACTCTGAAGGGGTCGTGGGGGGGGGGAGGCATCTGGACTCTTCACAAAGCCTTGTGTGTGTGTGTGTTTGTTGGTGCTTTGGTTTTGAGTTGGTATCCTTTTCAAGGTTGGTGCAAAGGCAATAAGACTATTTGAGGGCCCTCCCCCCATGTTGACACATACACATATGCGCATTCGAGCCCAGAGTTGGTTCCTGTCGAGGCCCTGAAGCATGAACTGTCAGTTCTCATATTGGTTCATTCCCAAACCCCAAAACTGATTCCCTTGGATGTTCGGCCAAGTTCGTGAGCGGTTGACCTGAGGTAATCCACTAATGACACGGTGAACTCTACTTGGAGGGACTTATAAGCAGGTCATAGCCTATAGGCTACTAACAACTTACCAACTTGGCCGATAACACAAGCTTCCCTTTGCTTCAGTCCCCTGGAGAAACAACATAAACACATATTTCCAGTAGTGATAGATCCTCTTTTAAATGCAAACAGGGGAACCAAAAAAAAAAACTGTTTGGTCTGGAGAAACGCCATCCTCCCAACCAAATGGTACTCATTTCAGCAAATGGAAGCTACTGAGAACCAGATTTCTGTGAGCGCCAGCGCTGCCGCCTGCCTGCCGGCGCCTTCTCCAGGGCGCTGATGGCGGAGCTGAAGCTTACGATGTTGGGCTTTAGCTCCTCTCAACGAGCTGCCAGATCTTATAAGGTCCTCCACATTTGAGAGGTCAGAATAAGTTGGTACCCGATTTTTTTCTGTAGTCTATTTTAGTATATACCCCAAAAGAGGGGGTTAAAACGGGCACTACTGGGGGCCTAGTATAATTATTTCATATTTGGGCTTGTCACCAAATTGGGGAATGACAGTGACCAAAAGTGGACCATCACAAAAGATGCAACGTTTTTTGGGGCAGCAGCGACGTGACTTCAGACAAGTAGGCGACAACCATTGCCATAACTGGGGTAACTGGTGTTGCTCCCCTAACCATGATAACCTGCATACAAAGTTGAACATCCAGGTTGGGAATGTCATTCGGGTTTTCAGAATCTCGGTTGCTTTCTGCTCCCCTGCTAAAAGTGAATAACTTTCAGTGGTGTGATGGAAAACCCATGAGTTGGGAAAAAGTTGAAGCCCTGACTGCACCAAAGATCAGATTCTGCTTGATTCTGTTTGCATGTTCGGGTTTTGTCCCGAAATTGGGGAACCCAAAAAGGGTGGTTGCCTGTTGGCTTCCCTTTGTGACAGCGACCAAAAGTGGACCATCAAAAAAGATGCACCTCTTCAGTGACACTTTAATAACACCCATGCGAACGGCATTGGAATGAGATTCGATGGCTTTGGGAATGAAACGGAAGGCCGACTGTCAAAAAGTGGCTACGCGTGCCCTCTCCTTTTGCCCCTTTACCGTTTAAGAAAACGAAAACAAAACAACAACTCGCTCAAGTGAGACCAACCCCTCAGACCCAAGGGACAGTAAGCTGCTTGCCCTTTTAAGCCTTGGCTACATAGGCATAGTGGTTATTGAATGTTCAATACCGATGATTTCCCTGAGAATAGTGGCTTGGGAGCAACCACCCCCAGAGATCCCGAAAGCTGTTGCCGAGGCTCAGCGCTCATCTCGCGAAACAGCGCCAAGGCGTCGCGCCAGACCCAGCCTTTCTCACAGGCGCTGACGCCTAAGGATCCCACAGGCTGGTGGAATCCATGTTGTCACTACCCCGCGAGGTACCACACAAACCCAGGGGTTGATTTCCCAAAAACAAAAAACCTTGGAGTCTACCTTGGGGTTGTCAAATGGAAGGGCTCCCTCGAAATCCCAAAATGCAAACAGTTACACCTCTCCTTTGCCTCAGGCTTGACGAACACATACAAGCTCGAAAGCTCGAAGACGTGGTGAATATGTCCAAAGGTCTTTCCAGAGCGATTCGGACAGACCCCCAATGGCTGGTTCCCCTGTGGACTGACAAATTCTCAAAAGAGCAGACCTCCAAAAGAAAAAACACACCCCAAAGAAAAAACGGAGTACACCAAAGACCAGCCATGGTTTGATCTTGGTTGACGTTCAAAGGGGAGCAACAATTCAAATTTTAGCACTTAAGTGTGGATTTCAATTACTCAACCACAACAAGCAAAAATGCAAAACATGTTTCCCAACAACAACCATGTGATTGTGAGTCCAGGTGCTGGCGCTGAAGCTGATCACGTTTGCTCGCAGTCGCGCAGAACGTATTGCCCAAAACAAGGCCAGAGCTTGTTGCCACTCGCCGAGCCGTGCACATGCGCTGATGGATGCATTGAAGCTGATCACGTTCCGAGGCACATGGAGTTCCTCGGCACATGGCCTACACTTGGGAAATAAGGCTGGCTGTTTGGACCCAGGACTAGATAGGCCAGCATTGGACTAAATCTAGGCCAACATCGGAACACGAAACAATTGGTTCGCGAAACAATGGGTTCGCTGCAGAAGGGCAAAGATGCAAGATGGTCCCAAACGGTGACCCAGACAACGTTGACCATGTCTGGTTGCAACAAATCCGTGTTTTTGTATATGCACAGAAACAAACCAAAAACACAAGTTTACAGACACGGTGTATTGACAAACGCAACAATCGCTAAGCCCAGTGGCCATTGGCAAATAGGGCACTCTTTCTTGGGCGGTGTATTTTAAAGTCGCCCTCCAAAAAAAAATGAAAAAGGAAGCGACAAAACTGGAAGCCCACCCCCTCCAAACTCAGTTGAAAACAAGGAAGCACCAAACTGGAAGCCCACCCCCTCCAAACGAAGTTGAAAAAAGGAAGCGCCAAAACTGGAAGCCCACCCCCTCCAAACGAAGTTGAAAAAAGGAAGCACCAAACTGGAAGCCCACCCCCTCCAAACGAAGTTGAAAAAAGGAAGCACCAAACTGGAAGCCCACCCCCTCCAAACAAAGTTGAAACAGGGAAGCGCCAAAACTGGATGTCTGGACCTCCATTTGCTTAAGCCCCTGAAAAAAAAAACAGTAGTGAAATCGAATCCCTTTAAAACCAACAGGGGAAAATGACCAAAGTATTCTCACCCTTCCTCCCACGAACATAGCACCTGTGGGTACCTGGAAGATCAGCTTCGCGAAGCGACCCCCTGTGCCATGTTAGTGGGAGGGAGGGTAACCAAAAAATAATAAATATTTTCAGTAGTGAAATCGATTCCCCTTAAAACCAACAGGGGGAAAAAAAAAAAAAAAACATTTCAGCAAATGGAAGGGTTTTAGAGTTCAAACATCCGCGTTTCTCAAAAGAGTTCACCCCAAAAATCGCTCCAAATGGATGTCTGGACCTTTTCGCAGCTCGAGTGTCGGGCATCCTCCGAAACAACGCCAGCGCCTGCTCCCACTCGCCGGCCTTTTCACAGGCGCTGATGGCGGCACTGAAGCTGATCCTTCGAGAGAAATGGGTTGCCCAGTGGACCGGAAACACCCGGGGAAAGAACGGGAGATTCCATCCCAGGCCCAGAAAACACCCAATGTTTACCCAGGAGTAATAAACCCGTCCCTTTTCGGGGGGCGGTTGTTTCCAAAAGTGGTCTGAATCCCCACGACACCCCCCTGTTAATCCAGATTCCATCGCCCCAGTTCCCCAGTTGCCCAGTCGCCCCAGTTGCCCCAGTTGCCCAGTTGGAAAGACAAGGAGAAATTCGTCCAGACAACGGTTTTTGGAAGGGCCTTTTGTGGATTCCCCTTGTTCTTCTGCTTGGTCCTTTTTGTTAGTACTCTTTTCGTACTCCTTTACTATTCAAATCCACGAACGCCGCATCAAAACCGTTTGGTGGAATTCTTCCTTGATGAAATTTAGTGGAGAACGGGATCCACCACACAACCAGGGGTTTGGCGGGAAACAGAAGGTGCTCGATTTCCCCAAACAAACAAGACAACCAATCAAGCTCGAACAGTTCAAGCATGTAGTTTTGACCGATTCCCCAGTTGCCCAAAACCCCTAAACGAACTGGGTTTTGGGAACCAAGCCAAAACGTGATGAGATAAACCAAAATAGCCAATCAGGTAGATGAAAACACACCACATCGAAAGGACACATTCCCGCTGAAAAAACCTGAAACAACAAACAAAGAAAAATACCAGAGGTCTGATCCGGTCGATCGCATTTGCAAGTGAGGATCTCATTTGGAGCGGCTGTTCCGCGCATCGCCCAAAATATGGCCAACGCGTGCTGCCACTCGCTCGCTTTCTCGCAGGAGCTGATGGTTGCATTGAAGGTGACGCTGTTGGGAGTCAGGTCGATCCTCATGTCGTGTCTCAAACAGGGCTGTGGGAAATGGAGTCATAGGTGTCCTTTAAGGGGAAATAGATGGGTTTCCCTGGTAGATGATTAAACCACCAGGTAAACCAGGAATCGCCATCTATGTTTCTACCAAAACAACCAAAAAGGACACCGGAATCCATTTCTGTGATGCAACAGAAAGGGCTTCCCAAAGACTGGCCCCGAGAAAAGGGGGGAGATTCGCTTGTATCCCAGAAGTGGGGATGAACCCCTTGATCCCACAACCCTATGACTCAAAGAAAAGGATATCACAGATTGGCGCACCGAGTGGATTTCATAGGGCATTGCAGAAGGCATGAGAACATAGGTGTCCTTTTGGGAAAATAGATGGCCCGGGTAGATGATTGAACCACCAGGTTAAACCAGGGCCTTCTAATTTTTTGAGCAAAACAAGCAAAAAGGACACCTACGCATGAGAATCGCTGGCTCGCTGGCAGCAACTGGTGGTTCCTAAAGGTAGCACAACTTCATCAAAGATGAGAAATCATCCCTTTAAATGGTGAAGCTTCGTATGAATCAACTGAGAATTAATCATCAGCTGGTGTTCCCATGTCTTCCCAACACACGTGTTGCAACCCCATCACTAAGATAACCAGAAGCGAACCAAAAGAAGACCATAGTGCATATATCTATGTGAAGATCTTCTCTCACAGAGTCCAAAAGCCCTGAAAATGAACATCAACCACACACACACACAACCGGATGAAGCCGACCGAGTAGCTCAGGCATCAAGCGAAACAGGGCGAGCGCTTGCTGCCACTGCCCACCCTTCTCGCAGGCGCTGATGGCTGCGCTGTAGCTGACAACATCTGGCTGCAGGTTTGCCTCTGGCCTCGGCTTCTCTGTCCCGCACAACTTAAGCTGACATTTCAAGACGCAACACGCTTGCTGCTAGCCTGTTGGAGATCTTTCCAGGGGTTCCCAATGCCAAAGCTTGAAGGTGGAGGGGTATACAAGTATTGTTTCCATTGCTAAAACCCCTCGGCCAAGACAAATCATGCTGTGCAAACACAGACATACACGTACATGTTGTTCCTAAACGTTGAACGTTGACACCACCAACCAACGAGCAACCAAGCAACCACGCAACCACCTGATGAACTGTGGTTTGGACAATCCTATTGGCATGCCTTTACTACCTCAACGTTTGCCCCAAAGTCAAAACCACATTTTGAGATTATGATCCATATCTCGTGAACCGTAAATGAAACATGTGGTCAAAAGAGGTACGTCCCGATTGTTTCTCTTGTAAAACACACGTGCAAACAGCAGCCTCGAACAAAATACCAAAGGGTCGAAAGCTCACTTCCTGAGTGGATTGGCCGAAAAAAAGTCCAAACTTGTTGTCTGCCACTAAAACGATCTTTCGAACAAGGGGAGACAAAGGGAGACAAGGCGGCGGCAACCCGTTCAGACGAACCCGTCTATCTTAAAAGATTAAAACAAAAAACAAAAAAATACAGTACACTGTTTGGGGAAAAAGGGTAAAGTCCATGAACTCAGGAGGTGCACTCAGGAGGCCCCAATCTAAATTTGAAAAACCGTCCGGGTCCAAAGAGCTGCCAAGAGGCATAGCGACCAAGACGGCCAAGGCCAGCTGCCAACGACCTGCTTTCTCAGATGCGCTGATGATGGCGTTCATGGTGATCTCACTGACGTTCACCTCAGGCTACCCTTAGCGGTTCGGCTTGGTGGGTAGAGAGACCGATCCCGAACCACCAAACCAATCCAAGCCACCAAGTACAGGGAAGCTGACTTAACATGGTTGTGTTAGCGTAAACCTTAGATTTTGCAGCCCCCGCGGTGAACATGAAGAGAACCCAAAAAACAATTGAGCAAAATGGTGTGCTACAGTACTCCTCTGCAAGTTAGCTTGGGCCTATCATTCTTAGCGCAAACTTCCTCCGAGATCGGATCCCATTGAATTGTCCATGTCAATGTTTCAAGGGCGTAGTCAAACATTTGTTTGGACAGCGCCACCGTAAAATGAACAACACCACACGAAACCAAACACGCTAACACTTGGACCTTCAACCCTAAAGCTAGGAATTTGGATATTGTCTTTCATCAATTTCGTCTGCGCAAAGGTACGAGGGTCCCACGATGACTCCGAACAACCATTTGCTTCAGCCTCCTGGAAAAAACAAAACAGAAACCTTTTTCCATGGTGACAGATTCCCTTGAAACCCCCCCCAAAAAAGGGAAATAAATAACCTTTGTTTCAGCAAACGGCAGAAAGCACAACCAAAGCCATGAGAAGAAAGTCGCCCTTCCGTCCGGCATCAAGCTGCACAGGGCCAACGCCTGCTGCCACTCGCCGCTTTTCGCGCACGAGCTGATGGTGGAGTTGAAGATGATCTCATTGGGAACCACATCTGCTTGAGATGCCTCAGTATGGTACCCCGCGCGCCTCCCAACCATATTTGGCCTTATTTGGGCCTTATTTGGGCCTTATTGGGTCTTACTTGAGTTCCTAAGGCACGGGCCAACCACCCTCTCACTCGCCCAAAGAACCCGCAAAAAATGCCTAGGTACCTTTTTTTTCTGTAGTCTGTTTTAGTGGGGGAACCCTCCCCCCAAAAAAGTTGATAAAAGTTGGCACCTAGCTGGGGGACCTAGATGCGATTACCCTTGGTCTTTCTTGGCATACTAAGGCTGAGTAACCACCCTCTCACTTGCCCAGAGAACCCAGCAACAATGTCAGTACCCTTGAAAGCTTTCTACCACTCTCACCGGATCCGCCTCGGTCATTCCACCGAAGACTCCCAGTGCCCGCAGCCACTGCGTGGCTTTTTCCAACGCGCCGACGGCCGCACCAAAGCTCACCTTGGAGCCGAAACATCCATTCACGGCGAGCTCTCACCTCGTGGGCCAGTCAAAGGCTGAATACAAACGTCTGTATATGGCCTGTGGGTCGAAACCAATGGTACATGTTTAATGCAATCGTCTATATATATATGTATGTATATATGGCTGGGTCAAAACCGTTTTGGGATCCCATTTTGGGGTAGGTGAATTCACCACCCATTTTAGAACCTATTTTAGTGGGGAGTGGGATGTTCACTGGGGGTACGGGCTTTTGACCCATGGCGCCATATGAACCCCTGGTATGAACCCCTAGTTTGTGAGCGAATTGACTGCTAGTCCTGGCTTAATTCTGGGAAATCAGCTTCCAAAAAGTCCAAAATGGCCATGGGTGCGTATATGAGCCTATGCAATCAGCCTTTGATCTAATCCCTTTTCAATCAGATACCGTTTTTTGGGGGGTGGTCAGTGGAAACCATCTAAAGTTCCATGCTCAGTTTAGCTGATATCCAGACGGCGTCCATTGCCGGCAATGGTTCAAACTATAGCCGCTGTATAGCTGCTATGAAAAGGGGATGTACTCGTTTGGTTGAGGGGGGGGGGTTGGGTAGTTGAAACCTTTGAATCTATGACCAGATTGCTTGGTTGACGTTGGGGAGCAAAAATAAATCAATTTTAGCAGTTAAGTGGTTGGATTTCAACCACTAAGCCCACAATAAGCCAAAACAGGAAGACAAAACTATTTCCCAACAACAACCATGAATTGTACGCCAAGCTGGTCGAGATCCAGGAGCCATGGCCCATCTGAAAGGACACTTAAGATGCCCGAAGCAATAGGGGAATTCTAGGGGTTGATTCCTTTTCCATTCTTTTCAGCCCGCGTTCTTTTCAAAAACCGGCGGTTTCCCCTGGGTTCTTGATGGTTTCTTGAACAGATTCGGATGGTACCCCTAGAGAAATCCCTATTTGGATGGGGTTGAACGGAGCACCAAGACGAAACCAACTAGTGTTGCCGGAAGTAGCTGCTGGAAACACGTGGACGCCCATTTGATGGCTTGATGACCAGTGCAACCCTGGCAAGTGGAAACACGGACCAAAACCTGCGTACCCCCTCCTGTTTGATTTTGAGCCACACCCACATCGAGAAACTTGTGCAACATTTGCAACTGAGCATCGACGTCTGGCTGCAGCAGCGCCTTTGGAATGGTGTGGAGCAAGGCCAGCGCATGCTGCCACTGCCTTTCCTTTGCACACACGCTGATGGTTGCATTGAAGCTGATGACATCTGTCTGCACCTGAAAAGGTTCTGAGAGCAACTGATTCAGAGCTTCTCGGGGAGCCACTGCACCTTATTAAGTAGTAATAGTGACTACTTGGATGCTCGGCCAAGATCCTAAAGTGTTACCTGGCGTACAATCCACTAATAAGCCCCTAAGTAGAGTTAACCTTCTTGTTAACTCGGTGGGCTTGCTGAACACGCAACCGAGGTTGAAACACAAACCTGGCTCAACAAGAGTTGTCACTGGCCAGCAAGTATTAAACTGTGAAACGTCAGAAAAGGTCGTAGAAGGGGTCCCAAAAGCCACAGGGCAATGGGGTAAAGGGCACCCTTGTTGCCGGAGATCAAAAGACGAATTTTAATTCGGCTTGGTTTTTTCGCCAGAGGGATGGAATCCAACCATTCAAAGGGTACTCTTCTTAAAGCGCACTTTGATTCTTTCTAGGGGTGGAAACATTCATAAACCAACTTGCCCAAGGGCACCCTTGTTTCAGGCTTACTAACAATTTAGCTAAGCCGCAGGCCGTCTAACTGGGGCATTCGAATGTGAATGCAGGATCTAAATATGTGCCGTCATCACCCTTTGTCACCGGTATATATCAAACACAAATTCCACTTATATACCCCGAACTCATTATACCCAGGGGAGCTGATGGATTTTGCAGCAACATACACGCCCTGTCTCACTTCCTTAGTGGATTGGTCACCCAAAGTCCAAACTTTTGATTTACCACTCGACTGATCCAAACCCCAAAAGTACAAAGTCCAGCAACAGGAAGTAAGCTCTCAACCGTCAGACCTGCTCTCTTTGGCTGTCTCGTCGTCGCCTGAGCCTTCGGCATCTCGGCCAGCAGCCCGCAGGCGGCTTCCCACGCCGAACTGCGCGCGATCGCGGAGGTGTACCCGCGGGCATTGATGGGTGACGCCCTGCCACGGCGAATCGCGCGGGAGCGACTCGGCTTAAACAAGGTCCTCCAGTAGAGAGGATAGAATAAGGGTACCTTTTTTTCTGTAGTCTATTTTAGTAGGGGAACACTCCCAACCCCAAAAAGGTGGGTAAAAGCTGGCACCTAGCTGGGGGACCTAGTAAGGCAAGGGTTTCCGGACCTCCCCAAATCAAAGGTTGATCAGTTTAGTGGTGGTTCCCATTAAAACCTGCGACTTTTGGAGGCTGCAAAAAGGGCAATGGAGGAGACCCTCCATTTATAACCATGGCTTCTGCGGGTCATTTTGGTTGCTAACCACCTGCCTGACGTACCCGATCAGCCGCCACATGATTAATGTCCTTCGCGGCAACAAAGAACCGGGACCACCTTTGGGAGCCAGCCAGAAGGTTGTACTCTGCCATTTGGGTGAGTCCTTTTGCGGGACCAGAATGGTGGTGTTCCTCTCTTCCCTTTAAAATCACCAAAGGGATGCCCTGAAAAAAAACACCCACCCTAAGGGTCTCGAGCCCTGAAAACTCGTTGTTTTCGAGGGCCCCTGAGGGTTGGGGTTCTTCATTGGAGGGTCTGGCAGTGCGCAGAGGGGTCATGACCCTTAGGGCACTTCTTTCCTGAGAAACAGCTTGTGCTTTGACCCCACCTACTCAGAAGTGGCAAAAGCACAAGCCTGGTGCGCTTTACCCAGCACATCCCAGGCACGCCCTGTGGCCATGTTCATTCTAGTGTTTCAAGGAGAACCCCTCCTCGGTTCCGTATACAGGTACATGGCCATGGTTCAAAAGCCCGTACCCCCAGTGAACATCCCACTCCCCACTAAAATAGGTTCTAAAATGGGTGGTGAATTCACCTACCCCAAAATGGTACCATTGGTTTTGACCCACAGCTACACGACCTCAGCTGTGTTCGACCCTTTCGAATGTCATCCCCCTTTCATGCATTGCTCCAGGGGTGAGAATTGCCATGCAAGTAAAAATGAAGGATTGAAACTCCTACTATCTCCTAATACATAATCCCTTTTGCCATCCATCATGCGAAGTTGCATCCCTTACTGAGGGCTTAGCATGGCTGAGGCTTTTTCAGCCCAGAGCTCATAGCCCCTATCACAGAGTTGCAATGCGGGCCCTTCCAACAGGAAAACCATAACATGGAACCTGACTTGTCGGGATCCTGAAACGTATTCCTTCAACATGGACCATCTGGTGCGTTCCACGTGGACAGGAGGGCCAAAACCCTACGACTTGTTCCGCTTTGGGCATTGTCTTATAAGTCAATGAGCCCGGAGCAACCAAAAAAGACAAGGACCTTACCTGAGCTGCGGCTAGAGAGTGCGAAAACCTGGATGAATTGCTATGACGAATTAGGTTTTGGGGCAAGCCTGTTACAATCATGATTGGAAAAGGACAACGCTCTTCTGTGATACCGAGGCGGGCAACCCCCTGTCACTACTTTATCACTTGCAGCAGATTGATTTTATGCTAAACCCCTAAAATCCACAACCACATCACCCTGCACATTCTTTCCCTGCACGTTGCTCACATCGGCGCCTTCTCGCCGATCGGCCGTGCCTTTTGTCTTCCGCCGCGGACGTGGCAAGGCAACGAGGCATGCCGTCCATGGCACGAGCTCACGGAAAAGACCCATGTCCGAGACAAAAAGGGCCTCGGGCATGGGCCAAGTGCATCTTGAACCAGTCAAGCTGACCATGACATCGCCTCCCAAAGCAGAACTACACTAGTTTTGGCAGTCACACACAAAAGCTAACATATCCCAAATGCTTCCCAAACCATGTTCTAAGGTAGTGTCGATGTCAGATTAGTCCGGAGAATCATGGCAAACAAAGGCATGCCCCGAAAATGCACTCATTCCGCACGCTTAAACGGCGCCATCCTTGTTTAGTAATTGCGGTCCTCCATGTTCATCCAAAGTTGACAATAATTGATTCAAACAAATAACCCCGTCTAGCTCTCTTCCTGAGTAGATTGGCCAGATAGACGTCTGAAATTTCTGCTTGCCAGCACGATCTTCCCAAAAAAGTACTTAGTCGACTCCTCTGGCCGTGCAACCATAGCAACCGCAAAGTCCAAAGTCAGGATGTTGGATGTTTTGGGCCCAGTGTTTCCAGGAAGGAGCCTAACACCTGTAACTCTTGCTTCTACCTATATTGGTCTTACCATGAAGCCCATGAAGGTGTGCACTTGAATTGCGCACCCTCTGGTAGGCGTAGTTATAGAACGCTTCACCCTATACCCTCCCACCAAGGACATTTTGTGAAAGCAACCATTTCGTTGTCAGGTTCCATGTTAATCGGTGGGAGATTTCCCGGTCAGGCTCCATGTTAATCGGTGGGAGGGTAAAAACATGTTCGTTCATTCCAAATTGGTGGTTGTTCAACATAAAGGGTAATTACCAGCTCCAACAAAAATATCAGACCCATATTGGGGGTGATCAATATACCTGGCCCCCAAATTGTGGGACATATCATACTAGTGGTTTTCGCCAATGGTCCCATGTATCACGAACCTTTCACATCTTTTCGTTCCTTTTCGCCCCTGTCGGGTTCAATGCCAATTGGTGGGAGGTCTGAAAATCGGAGATTCTCCAAATTGGCGTTTTCCTTTTCCCCCCTTTTCAATGGCCAACCCAACTCCCAACCAAATCGCAGACCCACATCTCTTCGTTCCTTTTACCCCCCAGGGCCCATGGTCTCCCATGACAACCCCCAAACCGCTCGCACCGCTTCCGGTTCGCTCGCGTCGGACGCGTCAGGCGACGCGGCTCGCGGCTCGCCTCGAGGACCGCGACGCGGTGCTTCAGCAGCTCCAAGAGCCGCTTCTTCTGGGCATAGCTGGCCTCGGCTTGCGGTGGAAAGCTGTCTCCCGCAAGAAGGCCGGAACAGATGTTTGTTGGCTTCTTCATTCGGAAAGAAAAAAACAACAATAAACAAAGAGGGAAGCTCTTTTTTTTCCGCAAGAAACAGGCCGTGTTCACATCTTGTTGGTTTGATCCTTCGAAGAAAAACAAGAAACTTGGTTTTCTGAACATGGGAGACCAAAACAAGATTGGTGTTCCTGTTGTTCCCCGTTTGAAACCTTGGCTGCTGGCGAGACCCCTCTGAACAAAGTTGAACACTTTTTGTGGGTCCAATACGGAATATCCGAACTGGTTCAACCAAAAAGTGAAAGTCCAAAGATCCAACCAAAGATGTCCGAAAGTGATCCCCAAGGAGCTGCATGGTCAGCTCCTTTTACAGGTGAAATCGCCGTAAAATAGGCGGAAGCCTTTGTTGACCTTAGACCTGAAAGGGGTCAGAGCTGTGGAGAGCGTCACAACGTGGGTCTCAGGATCGCTGGTGTCAGGAAAAACGCTGGTTTCCCTCGCCCTTAACACAAAGAAAGCAAGCCCTCCCTTTGTGGTCCAGATTTGGCTGTGGCTCAAAAAACCGGTACCCAAAATGGAACCCTGGCAAGTGGAAACATGGACCAAAACCTGCGGTTTGCCCCTCCTGTTTAATTTTGAGCCAATAAAGGAACCCAAGAGGTTAAAAGGCCAGGTTCGAGTTTGGCGTGTGCCAGGGGCCACTCTGAGTTTGTCACGCTGGACACCGAAGCTGATATCCCAAACCACGAAGAAACAGAGTAAAGCGTGGCGGGTGTCGCCCACGTGCCTTAACATGGGTGTGGTCCAACTATGCAGCCCACATATGCTAGCTGTCTCTCCCAAAGGCAAAGGTAGTCATTACCCCTCGCCCCATCCCTGAAGTATCAAACATTTTCGCGGATTTGCTTCCTGTTGCTCAGATTCAACCACAAAACATGGCAATATCTGGGTTATCTACTTGCAAGATGTGGGAGCTCAACCCAATTTGAGGAAATCAACAAGCCAAGGGCTGAAAGGTGAAAGGGAAAATGGGCTAAACGCTTCAAGGTTCACGGCTATTGGTTCAAAACTTCCCTCATGTTCCTAAAACACTACAGGCGGGCCGGGTCGAACTAAAACTAAACCAATGGACCAACGTCGTTCCCGACTCCTGCTGCATGTCTTCCGACAACGCCACACAAAGACTTCACAGCGGGTCGAACAAGAACTTGAGAGTATGGATTCCCTTGTTTTGTGAAATGCAAAAAGGAAACCAACGGGTCAAGTTTGCCATCTGAACAAGCAAAGGAACGACCACGTGGCGACACTTGAGTCCGGCTGACGTCTACTGTTGACAAGCTCCCGCATCCAATGCATCTAGATCATCTAGTGTCAAGGGCTCGGTAAACGATGGAACCGCACCTAAGAAATGTAGCATAATGGAGCCTTCAAAAGCGGGCAACGCCCCTTTTTCGCGGGATTCCCCACTGTTGACATTGACATGTCCAGAGTATGCCACCTGTTTCCTACTTCTGGGAACGGCACTTTCTTTTGGGACCCTTTGGTGGACATTGCTTTGGGGATTTGTGACGTATAAAAACATGAAGACTGCTCCAACTCCGGCCGTTCAAAAGCATAGCCATAAGGGATGTGTCATATTTCAATCTGCCATGTGCTTAAGTCCAAAAAAGAAGAGTGACATACTGAAAACCGTCTGGGGAAAGCAACAACATATTCTCCAGCAAATGGAAGCAAGGCTAACCTTTTTTGGGGTTGTTGCAGAGCGACCGCTGGCCCTCTTGCGGAGCGAGACGCCAGGTGTGTCTGCAAGAGTCGCTGGAATTCCTTCTCCTCGCTGCGCAGGAGCACGTCCTCACCAGGCGCCGATTCTTTGCAGCTGGACTAGGTCCTCCAATAGAGAGGTTAGAACAAGGGTACCCTTTTTTCTGTAGTCTATTTTAGTAGGGAACCCTCCCCCCAAAAAAGGGGCGAGAACGGGCACTACTGGGGGACCTAGTTAAAAGGAAACCACAAGAAACTCAACTTGATCGGTTAATATAAGCACTAGTGTTTACTTTGTCATCATCTCCGTTGGCTCCTTGCCACTCTTTTGTTGGGAATCGGTTCATGGGCAAGTTGCTAGGGTGTGTCTATTTTCAGGGCACCCGGAGGCAATTTTTGCTTGTTTGTGTCCCAAACGCAAGACCAATAGGAAACCACAAGACACACCAAACGTGGAGATAAGATTGCTTGCTCAATCTTGGGATCTGAACCTGCCAAAGAAGATGCACTACAATGCCCAAACTGGAAACATATATGTTTCCCTGTAATGAGGGTGTGGCTCAAAATTCAAGAGCGGTCTTAGTCTTTGGTTCCATTTACCAAGAACACTATTTACCATGGTTTTTGAGCCACAGCCCATGAGCCGGACAATGTCACCCCCATTCAGGGTTGTCTTTTTGCCACCTTCTGTGAGAAAATTGGCGACGCCCTCAAAAAGGAATCCTTCACTACAAGGGGGTCGATCATTTTTCCACCAAAGGTGGTGGAAAGACCCCCCTGCCCCCCTTCCCCACTGCCCTTTTCCCTCTGCCGCCCCTCTCTCGCCTCAGGCGTTTGGACCTTGGGCGCCGCTTCTTCTTCCTCCGCCGCGGCAGAAGCGCCCACCTGCGGCCGTCTTTTGGCCCGGGCGGACAGTCGCAAGGTTTGTCTTTGAGCCTCCTCTTACCTCAGCTGTTGCACCCAGCTGAACTCTGATGCTTGATTCCGGTTCATATTTAGCGAACCTTAACATGAACGAACCAAACAAGATCCCAGTGTTGTGCAAAAATAGCCAAAACCCTTCAAACGTATTTCGAGGGTGAAGCCGGGGAAACCTCTCGCTGATGCAATGGCACTACAAAAAGCCGACGGGGCCCAACGGGGGAAAGCTTCCTGAGAGCCTGAGAATGAAAGTAATTTCCTAAAATGGGACTGTCTCAATCGTCGTGACTTATCAAGCCTTGACTCCGGTGCAGTTTAACCCTTTAGCATTTCGGATCCGAACCTCATCTTGGCGGTTGGAGCCCGTTTTTGGGGTTCCATGTTAATTTGCAGGGGGAGTAAACCCTACGGCCGTAAAGGCCTATCCTTGGCTTATCTTTGGCTTCCATGAAACAAGAGTTGGGGTTACACCTCAAGGGGTCGCCACACACGTCGCGTGGAACAAACGACAGCTACCCCCCCGAGCATGGGGCCCGATTCATCATCCTAGAGGAATCCCCCTCCAGGAAAGCGATGGCGGCCTGGCCCGGCACTGCCTTTGGCTTTGAGGGATGGAAACCAGGTGTCCTTTTTGGAAAATACATGGCCCTGGTAGATGATTGAACCACCAGTTAAACCAGGGCCCTCTACAGCAACCAAAAAGGACACCTATGCCGACCCGTTTCTGGATGCACGTGTCCCACATTCAACTTGAGGGTGAAGTGGCTAAGCCCGACCCACCTACGCCTTGCACAACTCGAGCGGGTTCTAAGCAGGGTTGCTAAGCACTGGGCCAGGCAGCCGATCTCCTCAATTGGGTGACCGTAAATGGCTTCGAACTGGGTTCCCTTTGGCTGCGTCGTGTAGCCTAGAACCCGTTCACAACCGGTCTCCGGGAATACCTGTCCCAAAAGCAAACATAAGACCTGCAAACATCGGGTCGGAGGACAATGGGTTCACAAAAAAAATCGGCCCCTTTCGATGCTCAAGAGTTCTTGGGAGGGCCCTCATGTTCTTTCACGCCCAAGGCCTCCCCAGAGAGCTTGGGGAAGACGTGCACCAGCTTCAGGTTCCTGAGCTGGTTTTGGGACCTGGAGTTTTGCTTTTGGGTCGATCAGGTTCATTCAAAGGGGGCCGAACAAACTGTGCCCTCTAGTGGAGTTCCTTTTTGGACCCCCGACCACACACCCCTTTTTTGGGGGATAACGCAAACCCGATGCCGGCTTAAGGCTCTTGTTGGTGTCGTGGTGGTATTTGAACTTCCCGGCAGAGCTCGCTTCCACTGTGGCGCTGTTGTCCTGCGGATGGGTTCTCAAAGGGGCGGATGGGCATCAGCTCGTTTCCTTTCTGCTTCGCAACAACACCCAATGGGGGCGGCCCCAAAAAGAGCAACAAGCTGCGCCACGAAAAAAAAGAACAGGAAACCTCGATTCCATCCAGCCAATGGAGTTGAATCAGGGGCTTCCTATAAGAGACCTCCAAGAGCTGCGGCAAACTCGTGTGGGAAGATGGATTCTGGTAACATTCGCTCCGTGGGAACCCTTTCTGAGGTCTATCGCTAGCCTCAAGACAACTTCATCGAATGGAGTAGATCTGGACAATTTCACAATTTCAGCAACCGAACAGAGGGATCCCCAAAAAACCTTGTCGCAAACCTGTGCCCATTGAGTCCGCAAACCTGTGTCTCAGGCAACCCACCCAGTGGTTGGTGTCCCTTGGGTTTCACATTGCAGAGTAAACTTCCTCAGCTGTTCGCCCATCCCAAAAAAACGAGACTCTTGGTCAACTCACAGGAAATCCCCATACGATTTTGGTGCAACCCCATTTTGGTTGGCTTTCATCCTCAGCTTTTGGATTGGGATTTGGTGAACCTCAAACAAAACCAAGTGCCCCCCCCCCATGCGAACCATTCGAACACCCAACCGCCGACCGCTGTTGGGAACCAGATCCCACGAATCTTGGCTGGAAAACAGGGACCCCAGCTAAAACAGTTAGTGGAAAGCAAAGGGGACCCCAAAAAATCAAATCAAAAAAAACAAAAAGGGGAACTAATTCTGGGGAAGAAAAGAGCTTCGTCTGTTGCATCCCGGACCCATCTCCATCTCACTCCTCTGTGAATCCAATGGTGCTGAGCGCGTTCACCATATACTTCGGCAGCTCCTCCGCGAAAAATCGGCAGAAAACCAAAACCTCGAGTCAGAATCAAAGCCCGGCATTGAACAGTCTCATAGACGTCTTCACAGATCAGTCTCACACCAAGGCTCCATTTACTGTTGCAAAATAATGCAACAAACGGACCAGCTGCAGGTTCCTGAGCATGGGGGAACTCCTTTCCTGGCTCAATAAACTCTCCACACACCTGAGTCAGAATCAAAATCCGGTATTGAAATGGTCGTATCCCAGAGCCATGTAAAGAAGTAAGAAGGCCGCCGCAGCGATTTCTGGCAAGGGGATTGTCCCCTACTGACCTTCATCTACCCGGGTTTTGGTTGTGGCTCACCTTGTCCCGAATTGGTAATTTGGATGTTCTGGGTTAGCTGCCCATTTTCCCAACAAGAACCAGGGGTTCAAATTCCGAACCACCAATCCAAACCACCAGTACAGAGTTACCTGAATCCATGTTTAATATATATATATATATGTATAAATATGTACATATATATATATATCACACACACACACACACCAACTGTACTCTCGCATTATTTCCATTAACATGACTGAAGCCTCATGGAATGTGGCTTTTGCATACCTGAACCCTTTCCCTTAAGAAGGGAGACACATTGCGGGAATATCCCAATAAGGTTAGATGGCCCAGGAACACCTGTATAGCTAGTAACTGGCCGTTGGGGACTGTTTTTGGGGAACCAGGCTTGCTTCCCCAAAAAGTGGGAACCAGATTCCTGTCTTACGGTTTTAACAGTTCCGGGCCTCTATTTCACGGTTCTGGGCCTTTTTTTCACGGTTCCGCGCTATGGCTGTGGGTCAAAACCAATGGTACCATTTTGAGGTAGGTGCACCATCCAGTTTGGAACCTGTTTTAGTGGTTGGATTGGGATGTTCACTGGGGGGATTTGGACCCCTGGCCATATGAGGTCCCGGGCGCCTGTCGGGTATAACTTCACCTCCCAACTCTCGAGCGCTCCTCGGCATACTTCTGACGCACCAGCTTGCCGCCACCCACCACGAAGGAGATGCGCACCATCTCCTGCGCCATTTCTCACGTGTGCGAGGCACAGGTAGGGCGTGGGGCCGCCGCAACCTTCTTCTAGGCGCTACTGTGAGATTGATCCTTTGCGAGGGCGTGACCCTTTCGGGCGGGCGATCATTTTGGGCCACCTCGGGATGTTCAAGGGTGGTCAATATAGGGTGAAAGCAGGCTCAACAGGGAACAAAAAACCGACAGGCACCACGTCTGGGCCTATTGATCACGGTTCACTGGCACTCCTGGAGAATTTGTTTGAACGCACAGAAACGATCTTTCCCAACAAGCCACTCCGATTTTCTAACAAACTCTTCTCCGATCATAGAGCCAATTCGACTTGTCCATCAATCAATCACATAGGAAGCCACCTGGCAACCGCCTACCTCCGACCCATTTGTGTGAGCTTGTGTGTGTTTGAGCTATTATCCAACTTTGTCCATTGTCCATCTGATGTTCCCATCAATAAATCCCACAACTCATACCAGGTCCTCCAGTAGAGAGGAAGAATTTAAGGCTACCAACTCTTTACTGTAGTCTATTTTAGGGTCCAACCCTCCCCCCCCCCAAAAAAAAACGCAAAAAGTTGGCACCCTTTCGCTGGGGCACCAACTGAAATAGTTGAAGCCACAGGTCGTTGCCACCGCCACCGCCCGTGGCCTTGAGGGGGAAGGGCTCCGAGAAGGCCGCCTTCGCCAGCTCGTTGCACCGCGCCTGGCGCGCGGTCGCGAAATCGAAAGAGACATCGGCGGCGAGAGCGTCGCCTCGTTGGAGGCGGGGGAGGGGGGCTGCGGGGGGCGCCCCCTTTTTGGGTCCGCTCGTGTTAACCGTTTTGAGGGACACCACGAAGAAAAATCGAGAGCCATTTAGTGGTGGTTTAACGGGAAACCCGAAGGACCACCACTGTTATAGGGTGCCCTCATTCTGACAGAGACTCATTTGCCTTACCCCCGTTGTCCCCGTTCTGGAGTCCGAAATGCGAGTCCTCTGCGGCGAATCTCCGCCATTCTGGACAAAAAATGGAGTGTGGGGTTCCGAATCGCAGGCTTCCAGCCGTCCCTTGAGAGATTCCTTTCAAAACCAACGATTTGTTTCTTTTACCTGGGTGTGGCTTTTGAGGGTGCCTTTTTTGGTTCGAAAGGGAGCCATTCACCACATCGCTGCGATCGCTTTGCCGCAGGGCTGTGGGGAATGACCACTTCTGTGATACAACGGAAAGGGCTTCCCAAAAACTATTGTGTTCGTATTAAGGGGGATTCCCAAAAGTATCACAGAAATGGTTGGAGAACCCCCGAGTGATCCCACCACCCTGGAGTTTGCCGCGGGTCGCTCGCGGAGATCGCCTGGTCGTAGCCGCTGAGGTCGAACTCGTCCGACTCCGTGGCGCGCCGCACTTTCCCCGCGAGGCCGCTCATGGCGAGCGAGAGCCCTACCTTCCGCTTGGGGCGATCCAAGCAGGGTACGTGAGGTGGTTGGCAAGCCTGGTTGTAACTTAGGAGACTTATAACCATGGCTTTTGTGGGTTGTCTCACCATGGTGATTCTCCACTTACTAAGTACCCCATCGCCCCTTTAAGCAGTGCCTCGATTGTTTGCAATGCAACTGCCAAACGTTTGGGAAGCGGAAGATGGAAAAAGGGAGGCTAAGGGCGGGCCGGCGCTCGCAAAAGCTGCTGATCACGCAGTTCAAAGACCGCTTTTAGCATTTGGAAAACGGAGGCATCTCCAATGCTCTTGAGGGCCCGTGGTGTGGCTTGACTCATATGAAGGCCAAGTTTTCGAGGCCCTCGCGCCGTCGAAGCCCTGTCTGAATCACGTGGCTGCGGTCAGGCGATTGGCGGAAGCTCCCCCCGCAGATCAACATGGAACCCAAGCATATGTTGACGTTTTGGGGCCGCCTTTGGGTGATAAACAACCCAAACTAACTTCTTTGTAAAGGGCCTCCACTCCTAAGTCAGAACGTGTTTCAGAGGTTACTTACCGTCAGGCCATGTCGGGCCACATAACATCGAATTGAACATACTATTTCCTGGGTGTCTTTTTGAAAAAACCAGATGGCACCGGTAAATGATCATACTCGAAGTGAAACCACCGCCATCTTGCGATTTGACAACGGACGACACGACAAACAAATCGCCTCCTCACCAAGCAACCTAGCAGATCAGGGGAGCTGTTTCCCCCCAAAATGTGAGAGATCTCCTCCAAAATGGGACAACCGCCTTGATTAGTCAACCAGGGGTCTATGATTTCCTGGGCTCTCCTGAATGCTAACTTCGGATAAATCCGAAGGACTCAGGGCTGGTTCCGCTTAAGGAAATTATTCCTCCAGATTGCTCCCCCAATTAATTATCGGAAGCGGGGCTCCAATTCCCAAAAGTCGTTCGTTTCCTCTACAAATGGCTGTCTTTTGGGCTCTGTTAACAAGGCCCGAGAGGCGCAAGTTGTGGGAACGGACCCGGTTCCTGAACACCAGGAAGTTTTGGCAATTTCGGAAAAAAAACAGAAAAGAAAAAGAAAAAAAAACACCGTGTCAATCTGTACTTTGAAGGGGCAGGGTACGTCAGGTAAGTGGGTAAACACCATGGCGAGATCACCCACAAAAGCCATGGTTATAAGTCTCCGTTCAGTGGCTAAGTGGCTTCAAAAAAACCGGCTTACTACTTCATCACTTAAACCTGACGCGCCGAATCCATCGCCCCGTTCAGTAGGGCAGCAAACACTCGCGCCGCCTGCACCGCCTGCACCGCCTGCACTGCTTCAGGACTGCAGGAAGGGCAGCTCCTCGAAGGATCGGATGGGGCGGAAACGCGGCAGATGGGCGGCTCGGCTTTTTGATGGGACCCTTTTTGGGATGGTGTTGAAGGGAAGCAAACGCAGTTTAGCATTTTAAGGGTCCCCAATTTTAAGACACACACCATGTGTGTGTGTGTGAATCCAGATGTGTGCTCCGATCAAGCCAGCTGAAAGCTCCTTTGGTTCCATGATAAACTGGTGGGAGGGTAATCACCGGAGGCCTGGGGGTTTGGCGAGCAACGATAGGCCGCTTTTGGACCCTTTTGGTCATAAGACTGTGATTGAAGCTTTCTTGAGCATTGAACATTTTTTTTGGCTGAAATGGTTCAGAAATATAGGTTGCACCATCAGGCCGATTACACCCAAAAATGGGACAAACATGGGACAGATAACTAAAGGAACACAAACATTTTCTTGGTTTTGTGAATTCATAATCATTTTAGAGGCTCGGGGCAACCCTCTACACGGGGTAGAAACTCAAATTGATTCATTGATTGGGATTTGTTGTGCGCTCCTGAAGTGGAGGGTGACTCTGAGCAAATGGGAGCCTACGCCAACCCCCAACCCAGGTGAGGTCGATCACTGCCTTAGTTCCCGATTTCTGCGTTCACACTGAAACCAGGCGTGCCCCCCTTTTGGGAAAGTACGGCAATCCTGGGAACATCGGTCAAGCTGGGGGACATCGAACATGGAGCCCTGGAGACATGATTCATGATAGAAGTAAAGGTGCGGACATCATTTACCCTCCCACCAACTAACATGGAAGTGCGAAAAGGCCCTTTCCAAGAGGAAAGCAATCTTTCTACAGGGGTCTGTGCACTTCCATGTTAGCTGGTGGGAGGGTAGAAGGGTGATTCATGTCCAGCAGCCACTTTTGAGTTGGTTCCCAATTAATATTCATATACCCCACCACAACCCAAGATGCCCCCAAATGTTTAAAGCCACCCAAGGGGGTGAGGCGGAAAACTGGGCGTCCGTTTTTACTTGAAAGGGGCCCACCCCCTCCAAAAAAAGGGGGTACAAAAGGTGACTGGAGGCTGAGGTGTAGCCTGATTGGGCGGTCCTTTGGGTCCCACCACTTGTTCAGCTGCATGCAGTTGTACAGGAAAGCCTCGAAATCGCGGCCGCGCGGAGGTCATCAAATCCAAGAAACATAAGCGCGGGACCCGAGTGTTGTCGTCTAAGCACGTACCCAGGCAAATACATCGGAACCCAAAATCACGGGTGTTGGACAACCGTCGTATGATAGTGGCAGCAACCACAAGAAACACTGGTCGACACACTACCAAGCAACCAGCACACACACACACACAAAACATCCCAACAATCAAGCAAACAAAAGCCAACCATACGCGCCAACAACCAACAAAACGGAAGCAACACAACAAGCCAATAATGAGCCCACAGCCAGGCAAACATGTCAACCAACCAATCAACCAACCAACCAACCAACACAAAACGCCAGACAAGCACATCAGCAAGACACCTGACAAGCATCAAACAAACCTGACGCCACTGCGACAAACCAACAGTCAAGCAGCAATGTCAATCACCCCAAGCACAGCTGCCAACCAAGAACATCGACAAGAAACAATGAAATCCAAAACCAAGTATACACGCCAACTAGGTCCTCCAGTAGAGAGGCTAGAATAAGGGTACTGTGTTTTTTTCTCTGTAGTCTACTTTAGTAGGGGAACCCTCCCCGGAAAAAAAGAAGAATAAGAAAACAAAAGTAAAAGGGCACACTGGGGGACCTAATCAACAAACCAGAAAAAATGGACAAACAAAACACCGCCGAGCAGACCTGCCAACAACTAAACACCTGTTCAACACATCGCACCAGAAAGCCATCTGTATGCTTGCGAGTCGCGCTGAGACCCAAGAGGGAGACCATGCCGGTGGGCATGACCTGACATTCCAGTCGACTTGGAAACACGGAGCCAGCCGAGAACTCAAGTGTCATGATGCTCCAAACAGTACACCGTTCCTACACCCGTGAGCATGAACAAGGGGGGCTACCGCCCTTTGGCTTTCGGCAGGAGAGTGATCCTGAAGAACTGCTAGCATCGTGATGTATCTCGCTCCTCCCCCCTGGGCGTTCACAGGCCTATTTTGCCGCGCAGGAGGAAAAGCAACCAGCGAAGAGAACAAAGGACTGGCTATTTGGCATGAATTTCGGCATCTGGAACATCCTCTGAAAGGCGTGTGGACATAACATACCTTGCATATGCATGGTGTTCACCAAAAGGCGCCCCTTAAACATTGACACGAATGTGAACAAACCATGGAGCAAATTAGGCTGGGTTAGTCTTTACACAGAGTCTTGCCATTTGCCACTTGGTGTGGACACAACTATTTCCGGACTGTTCAAAGTTCAAAGGTTGACGGACCCCTCACCTGATTTGTTGCCTTGTTTCGCCTTCCGCGGCCTCCGGGCACTTCACGCTGGTTACTTCCGACCGACCCCTCAGCCACTTACAACCATGGCTTTGGCTTGGAGCCAGGGTTACGCTGGGTGCCCAACATGTTGCGGCACAATTCGGCCCTCGAATTTACCACAAACTGTAACAAGGTGTTGCGTCTGAGCATGGTTGGTGTACTTGCAATATTGGATGCATCCAGCCTACCCACTCAAATACAAAGCAAGCTCCCCGGCTTTAAGTAGGTACTGCTTGGAGAGTATTCCAACCATCAAATACATATCCATATCGGTGTATCTTCAGTATTATAGTGTATCTTCAGTATTATATGTTTTTGATGGTTGGAATACTATTCCAACCATCAAATACATAGCCATATGGGTGTATCTTCTGCTCAGGGGCTCCTTTTGGGGGTTGTGATGGGGCACCTACCCTGTTCCAGTCATGGACGTGGACGATCGGGGGCCAAGCTCATGGATGGTCATCCGAGTCATCCACTTCCACGATGGGAGTGTGCTAGAGACTGAATCCAAGAGCTGATGCGTTTTGATTCTGGTGTTGATTCTTCAGCTTCAGGCCCATTCAACCTGTGAGCATGTTGGAATCAACTCAGGAGTGAATTCCTTTCACTCCTTTTCACGGGAGTATCTTATCCTTAAGCAAACTTGGATTGACCTTTAACGCAAAACCCCGTCAATGGCGACCGGAAAGGGCATGCGAGAGCCATAAACTTGGATCTGGGGGTACAAAACAAAATGGAGTTGCTGGTTCTGTATTATATTTAGTCCACCGTGAAATTTAGAGCAGTTGTGGTGGAGACACCATTCAACTAGGTCTTCCAGTAGAGAGGTTAGAATAAGGGTACCCTTTTTTCTGTAGTCTATTTTAGTAGGGGAACATAGGGGAACCCTACCCCCAAAAAAGGGTGAAAGGGCACCACTGGAGAACCTAGTCAAGTTGTGGTTCCCCAAAATTTGACGCTCTTGCTCTCGTCCTCTCCCGGTCCCTCCACAGCCTTGCCACTCTTCAGGAATCGGGGCAGCATACCCGCCTCGCGTCGTTGAATTTTTAAAACCCAGGCTGGTAACCCACCTAAAAACCACATAGACCGGACGACTTGCTTGCTCCGAGATCCTCTTTCAGGTTCCCACGTGTGTTTCTTGTCAAGGTACCCAACCGAACCCTCGCGAAGCGTCCGGACGT